CCAGGTGCAATTTACTTGTGAAGGGAGTGCCCCCAGGTGAAACTGGTGAGGAACTCAGAGAAGCTGGGCAGGAAGGAAGAGGAAGCTGAGACTCCAGACACTCTCCTGCTCCACAGCTCCTTCCTGCTCCATCCCCTGGAGGAACATAACTTATGACTCTGTTATGATCCTCTGTTCCTCTGAGTGTGTCCACCTGAGGCAAGAAGCTGGGCTTTCACACTCCTAAACTGCCATTGCCATGCTGGCCTCTGTGAGGTAGGTAAGCTCCAGGCACTTTTTTTGGCAGTACTGGAGTTTGAACTCAAGGCCTCACACTTGCTAGGCAGATGCTCTACCACTTGAGCCACTCCGCTGACCCTGTTTTGTGTTGGGTATTTTTGAGATAGGGTCTTCTGAACTATTTGCCCAGGCTGACCTTGAACCACAGTCCTCCTGATCTCTGCCTCCTGAGTACTCCAGGCACTTTTGACTGTGTGTGGAGATCTCGGGGCCCCAGCATCCTGAAAGAAACCCAGCAGGAGAAGCTACTGGAGCAGGTAGTGGGGAGAGAAGCTCACAGCAGCTGGCTGAGATTGGGGCAGCCTCTGTAGGGCACCAGACTTCACAACAAAACCCCCCACAGAGTTGTATCTAGTGACCATGCAGCAGGTACTAGCTGATGTATTTTTCAGAGACTATCTCACTTAATTCTCACCCAGCTGGCTCTGTAAGGGTACTTCCTATTTGTAAGGCAGAGCATAGCCTTGGAGGAGGAACGTTAGGGTTACACCTATTTAAAGGCCCCACCTTTGCTACCTACTCATCTGTGGTCCTAAATGAGTTCCTATACTTCAGTTTCTTTATCTGCAAACTGGAGGAAAATTGTATCACTGCCTATGACTGAGGGGGGATTAAATGAGGTATGAGTTGTGCACAGTAGCTCACAACTGTAATCCCAGCTACACAAGAGGCTGTAGATAGGAGGCTCTGCGTCTGAATCTGATCAAGTTTAAAAAAAAAAAAAAGAGAGAGAGAGAGACCCTGATTGAAAACTAAAGTGAAAAAGGGCTGGAGGTGTGGCTCAAGGGGCAGAGCACCTGCCTAGCTGTCCTGAGTTCAAAACTCAGTACCACCAAAAAAAAAAAGTAATGCTTATACTGTGCTGAGCACAATGCCCACAATAGTAGGTGCACAGAGAATAATGGTGCTTTTTGTTGTTAGCACAGATGAGGTAAGTGAGGATGAGAGAAGTTGTACCAGGTCTGCCGACCTCCAGTCCCCGGTTTTTCTAGTTGTGACTCTGTATTGATTTTAGCTTTGGGACGAGTCTCTCTGTAATCAGGGAGGGGTGACCTGAGGAGGGTGACCAGGTGTTACAGAGAAACTGAGGAGTGTCTGCCTCTTTTTGGTGCCACTTTCTTGGCTACCATCCACAAACACGGAGGGACCTATTGAGGCTGGAGAAACCAGAACCTCCTAGGAGGCCTGCAGTCCTAGACAGTGTCCTCCTGGGCAGGTGGTGCCAGGATGAGGAACTGGGTCATCTACAAGCAAGCCTCCTGAAACAGGTAGTGAGCCATTTTTCTGCTTTTGCCATCACTGCTCCAGAAAGATACCCTTGCTAGGTGCCTCACAAGTTCTTGTGTCAGCCCCACTCTTCCAGGCTTTTGAGGACACAGCAGGAGTCATGGCAGCAGTCCCCAGACATGAGCCTCCCAGAGTGAAGCCTTCAAGTTCTAAGGCTGGAGACCTCGAGCCTCAGGCCTCTCTCCTTATCTGAAGGACAGCTCTGTTCACTGTGACTGCTCAGCATGGCCAGAGTATCATACTGCATGTGGCTAGCAGGTTAGAAGAAACTCAGTATGTTCCAGAAGCTTACAGTGTGGAGAAGAGGAGGCTAGGCAAGGCTGCAAAGAAGGGCAAAGCAGGCCCCAGGCAGAAGGAAATGTGGGGTGGGCAGAGCACTGACCAGCTGCTACAGTGCTGTCCCCTCAGTCCAGCCAGCAGCTGGAAGCCACCAGGAAGGTGAGGCTGTGGAGGCCCGCTGCCCTGAGGTCTGAACACAGCCACCTGGGAAAGGAATGTGGTCAAAGCCCTCAGGAAAAGTCCTCTATCCCCAGATCCTTCTGTCACCAGCTGCAGAGGGCAGGATTTCATCAGCAGAGGATCCTGTCTTTGGTCAAGATAAGAGAATATGAGTCACATGAACATGCATTCCCCTGGGGAAGATGGACATGTTTACCTCTTTCTAGTTCTACTTTCCTGACAGGTAAAATGACATAATCAGTCACAAAGAATAAATGTGAGAAGACCAGATTCCTAAAATTAAGTTATGCCTGTCCATTTGTTTAACCTTATGAGTTGGGGAATATTGCTCACTAGTACTTACCCCACACATGGGAGGCCCTGGGTTGGATCCCTAGCACTGGAAAACAACAAAGAAAACCCAAGCTGGGTGTGGCAGTACACTCCTGTAGCCCAGCACTTAGGAGGCAGAAGCAGGAGGACTCAGTGTGAGGCCAGCCTGGCTATAAAGACCCTGCCTCAAAAACCCGAAACAAAACAAAATGATGTAAGTAACAGTTGAGAGAAAATACATGCAATTTAAAAGATGAGGGTTGGAGGCATGGTTCAAGTGGTACAGCACCTGCCTAGCAAGTGTGGGGCCCTGAGTTCAAACCCCAGTACTCCCTCCCCGCCCAAAAAAGTAAATGAATTTTGACTTAAAAGTAGCCCTTTCTTCTTCATGGAGACAGAACATTGTAAGCTGCTGAGAAGCAAGAAGCCTCTAGACCTTCAGAGAGCAGGTCTTTTTCTAGGTTAGCCAGGAGCTAACCTAAATGAGCAGCAGTAGGGACTTCACTGCCACCCCAGTGCCTTCTGAGCTTCTGTCTGCTTTATCACTTTCTTCTTTTTCTACTTCAGACCTGCTTTTCTCCTCTTCTGTTCACTCCACAAACCAGGTAAAGCACTGAAATTAACTGTATCGAAGCACACACACACACACACATACCCCCTTCAGTTTTTTGTGTTTTGAAAGTGTGGAAGGAATGTTTTATATTACTTGAAGACAAAAGCCTAAGTTAAGCAACCTGGTCAAGATAATTGCCTCTCAGCCTCTGCACCAGGGAAATGTCTTTTTGGAAGGACGATCTCATCATATAGATCAGGATCAGACAAGTGGCACTCATTGACTATATTGGTTTCACACACTCCTTCCTCCTCAGTGGCCTCCAGAGGGAGGTTCATATCAACCAGCTTCTCGCCTCCCCTTGACAAGCAGGGACTCCAGCAGTGTGTGCACAGACAGGCCACAAGGTGGTGTAGCACCTCTGTTGCTGATCCTTTGGCAAAACCTGGCTGGGAGGTAAGAAGCTGGGATTGCAGAACTCGTGGCTAAATCTGGGAAGCTGATTACTAAGGCCACAATAGTGTATCACTTTCCTTCTAAATCCTACCCATGACGTCAGATGAGCACAGATACCTCACAAAACATCTTGTTTACAGTAAGGATAAATACCATTACCTCAAACAAAATGCCTAACAAGTCAGATGGCGGTGACCACACACACAAAAAAAGTACAAGAATTTATTCCTTAAATTTACTTAAAGGATTAGAGGTGATATATAGTGAAACATTTATGATAACATTTAGAGTTATGTCAACATAAAAAACTATAGCTGTGGTTACAATTGGCACATGCAATTCACTGCAAGGGTAAAAATCTATATAGCACTACACCAGCCTTCCAAATGAAGTTAGATGAGGTGTGGTAAGGCAGTAAGTGAATGTGAAAGGACTACTTACAGGGAACCGAGGCCTAGCTAGGACTTAACGGTAGGCATGCCTAATGATAACCACTTTACTGTCATGCTAGCAACCTGCACATTTATTTTTAGAATACATTATTCAATCTATACATTAAGACTAAACAGTTTTTAAAACTCACTGTATAACATCCCTTTGTTTCAGACACATCACACTTGGTATTCATGTAACAGCATTTGCAACCTATAGTAATCAAAGCTTATGTTCAAGGGATAAAAGACTGGAATATTCATCACCAAGCACTGGCTCTATGTGCATTTATTTCATCAAGATCTGCAAACAACTGGGGAATGAAATGAAACTGGCCAGTTTGTGGGAGTTACTGACTGCCAAAAGCCCTTAAGGATCTAGGAACAAGTGGGTTAACAGCAGAACTCACCTTGAGCTGCCACCTTTTTATCTTTAAGGCAGTATACACTAGAGTCACATGCCACTGCATGCACTACAGCATATAGGGTGGAAAAACAGATTAATTCTTGGCTTAAGAAAATTTTTTGACTTACATTTGAATTGTTTAATGTCCTGAAAAGGAAATGCTGCCAAAGACTCATCCCAAGGACACATAGGCAGGTTTGCTACTTTGTATTTTTACTGAAATCTCTGCTAATGCCAAATTTTATGCTAACCCTACATACCCTGCCAATTTATGGCTGCATATTTTCTAATTTACAAGCTATAATTTTTTTAGAAAAGTAATCTTACTTGGGCAATACAATCTAACTGTAATACCTACAACAGAAAAAACTATCCTAAGAATATTTGTGAACAGTTGACCTGTAAGTTTTATGTAGCTTATTGAGATTTTACTCATCTCACTGAAATAAAACTTTATTGAAACAGAAGTGTATGGTTTGGGAACATTTTCCTAACCAGCTGACCAAACCAAACAGGAGAATGATGTGGAATGTAACAGAACGCAGCTTTCTCCTGCTTGTTTTATTTCACACATGCACCAGTAAACAGCTACTGTGGAGAATTCTGTATGATTATGTACTTTCATATTTATGTCATGATTTTAACTAGTTAATTATATGGGTAGAAAAAAGACATCTTGAAAAATGTGTCTGATTTCGCCAGGCACTGGTGGCTCATGCCTGAAATCCTAGCTACTCAGAAGGCAGAGATCAGGAGGATTCAGGGTTTGAAGCCAGCACGGGAAAAGAGTTTGTGAGACCCTATCTCGAAAAACCATTCACAAAAATAGAACTGGTGAAGTGGCTCAAGATGAGGCCCTAAGTTCAAGCCCCAGTACTGAAAGAAAGAAAAAAAAGAAAAAATTGTCTGATTTCTATTTCTAAAAGCACCTGAGCTGTTATGGGCTTTAATAATAATAATAATAAAAAACCTGTCTTATAAGTATACTTCAATTTCATTAACCTTTAATTTCACAATGAGCAAGGGTCATTGGATGACTCCACGTGGTGGAGTCCTGTATCAAGGAATGAGGCTGAAATTAAATTAATTACCCAGAGAAGACACAAATGCATATGAAGGAATTTGTGTTTTCCTCCCTTCTTCTACTCCAATGTTGGGTATGTTGCTGACTACTGATTTATTCATGCTAGTAAAGGATCAAATTTTTAGATGTTAACAGGTAGAAAGTCTAAAGTCTTATAGTTTACTAAGCTATTCATAATTTTAACTTTATGGGAGATGAGGGCAGGAAGCCAAATACACCAGTAGCTGACAATCAAGTTACAAGAGCATCATGGGTAACATATATTAGATCAGATTTTAAAGGAAGCAGTGAATTATTTTGTACAAGAAGCTATTTCCTGATGTGCATTAATTTAAACCACATTTTTAGACACTACAGACTTAAAGAGTAGTAAATCCACTAACTTTATTACTTTTTATATAAATAAACCAGATTTATTGCCCTGTCTACCTAAAAATACAATGCACATGCATCAAAATATATATTATTCTAAAACATGCTCTAGGAAAGTAATTTTGTATTTAAGATAAGTTTTATGATTTTTTATCTTCAGGGCACTAATGCACATTAAATATTAGTGCTCAAATCTTTATTTCCTGAATGAGTTCTTGCACAGTAAACATAACAACCATCTAATATATCTGATGTACTCTTTGAGTGGAGGCATTCACTCACCATACCACATTTTATACATGTTTTACCATGCAAATTTGCTTACCTGAGGTCCTTTCTTCAATGACCCCTCATTTTCATTTCCTTAGATCATGAGTTCATACCTTCTAACTATCCCCGCCCCCGCCAATGTACAAACTTCACACTACAATGTTCTTCACAACACTGCTACTTGTTATGATAACATGATTTCTTGTTTTTGAGGAAATGAAAAGTATAAGAGATATATGTCTGCATAGGTATAGCCACAATAGGGCAAATCCAGTCCTGATCTGGACCAGCCTTTGATGACCAATGTCAGTGGTGGTGACACCATCATTTGTAGTGTGAGTCTGAGTCTCTGTTCCTTGATGACCTCTCTCTGCCTTATTTTTCTCATCTACTTCTAATTCTGTCACTTCACCAATCTCATGTTGGGTTTACTTAAAGTAGCAAGTTGAACGTATCATAATAAAGCATCTACTGTGCCTCACAAAGATCATATATGTGAAAGAACTCAGAAAAGTATTAGATATGATATAAATGCAAGAATACAAATGATAAAACATATCAGGAAGTCTAACATGAAGAATATTCTGAGTAAAAAGTAGAATTACATTTCAACTGTAAATGTATACCAGTTTTCTTGATCTTTTATTCTTTAATAACCTCTACAAACTATTTTAAGTGTGTCTGTTTTCTGAAAGTTAAATATACCAGAAAAACAAACCCATTTCCTCCGAATGCACTTGGTGGTGCTAGTCAACCATGAAGCACGAGTATTTCTTCTAATTTACTCAGACCTGCAAGTCACACATGGTGGTTAGGGAATGGCATAAATGCATTAGTGGCTTTAGCTTGAAACCCTGGAAGCCTGGCTCACTTCTCTTCAAAGAACAGAATTGGAAGGAAGAGGTTTAAAATATTCCTAAATCACAATGTAGAATTAAGTTTCACGATGTGAGAATGAATGGGCAGATAATAAAATACTATTTCTTGTTGGGTATGGTGGCACACAGCTGTAGGTACTCAGGAAGCTGGGACAGGAGGATCTCTTGAGCCCATGCTAGAGTCAACCTGGGCAACACAGCGGGAATTCAGCTTAAAAAAATCAGGGCTGTAGGTATATCTCAGTGGTAGAGCACTTGCCTAGCATGCACAAGGCCCTAGTTCAATCCCCAGTACTACAAAACAAACAAAAAGCCCTCCAGTCCCCCTATACAAACAAACCTATCTCTTTATTAGGTGTCTCCACAATGAGGATATTTGCTAACTGTGATATTTACTAAGATTAATATGTATTTTATTGGGATCCTGGTTTTGTTGTGGTGAGCACTGACCTCTAACTTAATTTGCTTCAACCACCTGCTAGAAAAAGAAAAAAATTAAACCTTGGCATACTTAAAAATCAAAACAAGGTATATTCAATTAAAGTAAATTTTAAGCTGAAGATATATAAAGTACTTTGTCAACCAAATTCTCTGAAGTCTTAACCACAAGGGTCAGTGATGTCTATGTATGCATACAAAAATACATACATAGACAACAATTTGAGTCTTTAAAAATCGTAAACAAGTTAAAATGATCGAGATAGCTTGGTGTTCATTCCTACTTCCCACCAGGGCACTCTGCTGTTTGTGAAATGGACCTGCAAAGAGGCTGTCAATAAGGAAAAGCAAATTTTTAAAACTTTAGTGAGATTTTTGATTAGATAATATTTTAAACAAAGTATTTTTAATCGGCCAAGTTAAAGCTCTGGAATTCCTTTGCTTCAATAACAGCTGCAGGCATCACTATCAACAGAAGGGCACAATGGTCTAACTGTAAATGAAGCCACCCCACCATTTCTCTGTCAGACCTCAAAATGTGGGCTCAGACAGTTATGCCCACAGACCTCTTTTTAAGTGATGGCAGCTGAAGCAGAGGATTTACACCTTGCCCCTCTATTTTTTATATTGACCATCCCTAAGCCACTTTTTTTGATGACTATTCTCATCAAAACCAGCTGTGTTCACTCATTATATCACTGCTCATTATTTAAATACCTTCTGTGTTTTTATGTAGCAAAACAAAAAGTTTTACTTTATAAATTTCAGACAAGCTTTCTGTTTTTCTTCAGTGCAAACATCCTGAAACAGCATAGTCATTCAGCTATTCAGAGGATAAAGTCAGTTTATGTAGTGCTTAAAGTAGAATCCCAGATATTCTGGAATGGAAATGGCCCAGGTGAGATTTTTGTCCTTAAGGGCAGATGATCATCTTCAGGGAGTGAAGATTATTTTCTATCTGAAATCACAGATAAAGTATGTTAGCTTTACTTTATAGGTACTGTTGAGTTGTAACAGAGCTAGTCTGTCACTGAGGCATGTAGCCACCTTGTCTTACAGTCTGTGGTAAGTAACTTTTAGGCATTCCTTCATCAATTGCAGCTTCCAGCCCAGCTGTTTCGAATCTCTCTACGTGTCCCTCAGTCCCTGGGCCAAAAGCATCCACCATAGAAACCTCCTGAAACATACTCATTTGCCCAGATCCACAGGACTGTGAAATAGGACCTGAAATTTGCTGCTGTTTAAGTCTAACAAAATCTTCCTCATTGCCCGATGAAACCTGTTTTGATCTTTCAAAATGTGAAATGTCTGGACTGGTCTCAGGTTGACTGCAGTTCTGTTTGAAATACTGTTGCATGGGCAAAATGCCATCACCGCTGTCTGCGTTTTCTACCAACTGTAGATCTTCTGGCCGCTCCTCTGAATCCAGCAGGGGCTGGGTGGACTCAGACCTTGAGAAGACTTGGACAGATGGAACCTGGTGTCTATAGCCACTATGCACCACAGTGGAGTACTGGACAGTGCTCGAAGTATTCTGTGAAGATTCATTTTCATCACTGCTAGAAATGCTTGGCCGAGAAGACGACATGCAGGAAGACCCCCCAATACCACTGCTGTGTCCTTCAGTACTAGTTTTTTCCTTCTTGAATAGGTCCAGTGATTTCAGATCCTCAGGAAAAGGCTTCTTGTCATTTGCTTCTATTTCCACAACACTTACATCAGTGAAATTGCCATCAGAATACATCTGATCTTTTGAATTAAAATTGTGCTAGAAAAGAGAGAAAATGGATTATTACTTATGGCATATATTTGCTTAGAAACTTTTAGAGCTAATGTGTTTTTGAAACTTCTCAGTAACTTTCAATGGTATAGAAATAATGTCAAAAATCAGTCAGTTGGCTGAACTGCACATAAAGCAAAATGAGTTAAGAAGTCTGAATTATTTCCTACTTAGAATTTCCAAATCACTATTGTTGTAATTACATTTTGATAAGGTAGTAGTTTACAAATAGTATTTAATATTTCATGCCTAGATTAGACAGCCTAGAATTGAATGGATAGAAAAACTAGGGGCATTAAGAAAAATCAAATTTAAATTACTTAAGTTTTACTGTAGAATATAAAAATATACATCTTTAATTTGTTAAAATTAAATTTAAAGATTATTAGAGGATAATAAATACAAATACTTTCCATTTGGGGATATATTTTAAGTTTTAAGAGTTAGTGTAGGTTCTCAAAAATCATTTCCTCAATATTAAAATTCAGTGTTAAAATGGCTAAGCTGGTTTTGGTATTCAATCCAAAATGCTTGTATAACAAAGTTACCACTAAATGGTAGTTTTAGCACTTTATGTATTCAGTTTGCCAGTTCATATTTCATAATCTATACTAAGCAGAATCAGGAATATCAGAATGTATTATGATTTATAGGTATTACTTTAAAATCTGACAATAATTTTTAATTTATGTACAGTTATTTTCATTTACTTTTTTGACTCAGCTCAAATATATTTTGAACTTGTACATTACAAACAACTCAGGAGGACTTGATCTTACCCTTGGAGGTGTGTGAGGTGACCACTGGGCAATATGACTCTTTGAAGGATCTGGAACATTAGGCCAGATGTGTTTTTTAATTCTAAAGAGAAAAGAAACATGGCAAGTGTAAAACCACATGTAACAATGACCAGTCCCTATTTCCACTTGTCATCTCAAAGAAGCAAATGAACAACAACAACAAAATACCTACCCTACCCCAAAACCAAACAAATTATTTTTTTGAGTCACAGAAAAATACTGTTAAAAATGCATATGAATGGTAAGGTATTCAAAATGAAAAACAGGTAACAAGACTGAAGCTAATCATTGGAATTCAACTGAAAAGTCTCTCAAATCCTTTTTTGGGGTGCAGTAGTGGGATTTGAACTTAGGGCCTCATGCTTGCTAAGCAAGCAATTTATAGATAAATCGAATCCTGTAATAAAATCAATTAAAAGCTTCATCCAGGCTACAACAGGTTGTAGCTCAACCCCTCCCAACAAAAAGGAAAGCAAAGATGTTTAATTCCCAATTAAAAGTGTCCAGATACAGAAAGCAACTGGGTGTTTGCTAGGAAGCAGGGTCCAGGACACTGAGTAACTGTAAAGGGTGTGAGGATGAGCACTGGAGTGAAAGAAGTGTTCTAATACTGGATGTGGGGGTGACTCCATGTCTTACACATTGTCACAGCTTTACAAAGTACGCAGTAAATGGCTGAACTTAATTACACGTAAATTGAACCTCAATAAAGCTCTTATAAAACAAAACAAAAAAAAAGTGTCCAGATAATAAATCAAATAAAAATGTTACACTATATCAAATAAAATATAATAGATGTGATTTTTTTTTAATAAGGAAGAAGAGGCAAACAGTTCAATGGAACAGAACTGAGAGTTCAGAAACCAATACAAATTTATATAGACAACTGATTTTTGGCATAGGTGCCAAGGCAATTCACAAGGTAACAGGATAGTCTTTTTCAAAATAATGTTAAAAGTAGGTATCTGGGCAGGGACTGGGGGGCATAACAGCCTTGACCCTGATCTCATACCATGCACAAAAATTAGTTAAGTTGTAAATGAATCATAGGCATAAGAACTAAAACTACTGAACTTCTAGAAGAAAAAATGTTTTTGAACACTAGCTTAGATAGATTTCTTAAACATGATACAAAATGCAGGAACCACAGTGTGGGGAAAAACAGATAAAATGGACTTCAAAATGAAAAATTTCTTAACTTCATAGTTAAGAAAGCGAAATGGTAATGCACAAACTGGGACAAAAATGTATTAAAACTTGTATTTGAAAAAAGCTTTGTAACCAAACATAATGAAGAACTCCTACTGCTCAATACTAATAAAAACTATCCAATTTGAAATTGGGAAAAAGATTTCAATAGACACAAAAGAAAGAATGTGCCACATGAAAAGATCCATTAGTAGTCATCAGGGAAATGGAAATTAAAACCACAATGATATAGTACTACACACCTACTCAAATAAATTACTAAAAAAACCCAAAAAACTTACGACAGTACCAAGTGTTGGTGATGATATGGAGTAATGCTGGTGGGAATACAGGATGGCCTAACCACCCTGAAAAGATTGACAGTTTCTTTTCTTTTTTTTTTTTTTTGCAATGCTTAGGGATCAAATCCAGGATAATGCTAGGCAAATGCTCTACCACTGAGCTACATCCATAGCCCTGTCAGTTTCTTACAAAGTTAACATACTTAACTACATAATCCAGCACTCTAATCCTAATTATTTATTCAAGTTAAATGAAAACATGCCCACAACACTATACATAATGGGTAAGAATCAGAAAAACCTAAACTTCTTTAAGTGATGGATAGCATCAATTATTTTGACATATCCATACTATAGAGTATGATTCAGCAATATAAAGGAAAAAATATTAGTATATGCAACAACATGGACCAATTTAAAAAATACTGTATTAAATGAAAGACGCCATACCTAAGAATCTACATGCTGTTTAATTCCGCATATATGAAGTTCTGGATAAGGCAAAACTACGGTTACAGAAAACACATTAGGGAATGCCTGGGGTCAGAAGTTGACAGACAGAATAGATTACAAAACAATGAAGATACTTTAGGGTGATGGAAATGTTCTGTATCTTGATTGTGGTGGTGGTTATACAGCTGTACACAATTACAAAAATTCATCAAACTATAAACTTAAAATGTATAAACTTTATAGTATATAAATTATAGCTCAATAAAGATGGGCTGTAGCTGGGTGTGGTGGCTCACAGCTGTAATCCTAGCTACTCAGAAGGCTGAGATTGGGGTTTGAGGCCAGTCTGGAAAAAAGTTTATGAGACCCCCCATCTCAATCAATGGCTGGGTATGGTGGTGAGCACCTGTCATCCTAGTTACAGAATGTAGCGTAAAATAGGAGGATGTAAAAACCAAGACCCTATTCCCAAACTAATCAGAGCAAAACTGGTTGGTGGGATGGCTCAAGTGGTAAGTGTGAAGCCCTGAGTTCAAACCCCATTACTAGCAAAAGAAAAAAAAAAAAAAAGCTGGGGAAAATGCGAAAATATGAATACAGGTACTTACAGGTCTCGCTTATTAAAGCAGAATAATACTCCCAGAAGAGTTATCAGTAGGAATGCTAAGCAAACAGGCACAACAATGGCTTCTATTTCTCCTTGAGCTAAAAAAAGAGAAAGGATGTAATAAGAAACAGTTGTCGACACATACAAAATGGAATAATACAATTTCCTAACCGGAATACTACTGAGAAGATGAAGTAACCCATCCTAGTCCCTTCCTCCCCAGTCTTTTCAGATTTTAAGGTTGCTTTTTAAGTCATATCCTAACCATCTGTCCTTACACTATAACCTGGCTATGTAGTAAGCATAAAATATCCAATGGCTGGGGGAATAAAATGACTAGTTCAATTTACTGGATAGGAAATTTACTGGATAGACAAAGTTAGAGCTTTGAAACCTAAGATTCATTACAGTTATGACCTGTAGTCAGAAAAATCTAAGCAAAGGCTTATCTTTGAGATCTAATCATTATATAAAAAAAAATTGTATCAGAACAAAAATGAACATTGTAGAAGTGGAAAAGCTATAATCTTAACTGAACTACAAGTTTACCTTTCTACAAGGAATAAAAATGCAATCTTAGACAAAACTGTTAAGAATTATTTACCATTTTAAAGAAGATAATATGATACAGGGCTAAGAATTTTAGAAGAGATGCTCACTAGACATGCATAATGGCACATGTAGGAATACTTAATCTAAAAATCAAACAAGCCTGAGTTTCCTAAAGACCACACAAATCCTCATCTGCGTTTCAAAGAGAACCTATTAATCAAATGAATCACTAATTGAGATTTTTGTCTTTGGCAGTACTGGGGTTTGAACTCAGGGCCTTGCACTTTCTAGGCAGGAGCCTTACTACTTGAGCTATGCCTCTAGCCCTTTTATTTATGTATGTTTATACATAGGGTCTCGTGTTTATGCCTGGGCTGGCCTGACCACAATCATATTTATGTTTAGTGCCTAGCTGGGATGACAGGAGCATGTCACCATGCCCACTTTTATTAGTTAAGATGGAATCTCACAAACTTTTTGCCTGGGCTGGCCTCGAACTACAAGCCTCCTGACCTCCGCCTCCCAAGCAGTTAGGATTAGAGGCATAAGCCACCTCGCCCAGTTTATTAAGCCTCCCCACCTCCCCATCAGGGCCTGATATACACTAAGCTTGTATTCTATCACTGAGCTGTACTCCCTGCCCCTTTAGCTCCTTTTTGATTAGTGTTTTATAGGAAAAATGTATGAAAGTAACACCGCAGGCATACACTGTTTGCTAAGTTTTATCTTTCTACTACACTTAAGCCCAGTAGATATCAAGACAGCAGAAGAATGCTTGGAACTAATGCTTGGTTAGCAAATACTAACTCTTGAATGCTAAGGATCACAGCTAGAATGCCAAATCTAATTTAGGCAGAAGCCTTCCTTTACTGCTTCTATGCTTCATACCAAGGCTTTGCTTAGATCACTCTCTCAGACACCCCTCTGTCCTATTTGTCCACATCCTAACTTTAAGGCTCCAGCATTGTCTCTTTAGGAAACCTTTTTTAAAGGCAAAATGCCCCTCGCCCCTGCTGGTATCTTTAAATTCCTCCTCTGCAATTGGCTCTCCATTTGTTTTATTTATTTTTGCCATGTTTCTTCAACTAAGCTATAAGGTTCTTTGGGGCAAAACCCAAGCCATGTGAAGAAGCCATAATGGGAGTCACAGAAAGGTAACTGAAAAAAAAAGCACATTATAAAGTAATACTAGTATGATCCAATTTTGGGGAAAATGTGTACTTAGAAAAGATGAACACTTAGGTGCAGGATTAGGACTGACTTATCTTTCTTTTTGTATTTTACTGTATTAATTTCCTACAGTGAACATTACTTTTATAATTAGGCAAATATTTAAAAAGTTTTATTTTCTTTCAATGTTTTATTTCAAGTGTTATCTGCTATGTATCTATTAACATGTCACCCCATGGGACGAACCTTATCTCAGAAATTGTATTCATTACTGGCCCTATAAGGAAAGCTCAGGGTATTTTATTATCTATTTCATGAAATCACTCATCCATTTATTCTCTCATTTAGCAATCATTCAACCAACAAGGAACATGGGGATTACTATTTGCTATTCCCCTTGTTGGCATTTGGGGATGAGAATTACATACAGTTTCAATAAAATAATAGACTTTCTGCAATGCTTCATAATGTAGTGGGAAAAAGAATGAAATTCAAGTCTACTCTAGGGAGGCTACACGCAAACAGTCAAAACAAGAGAAGGTGAGGACCTAAGGTAGGGAACTGCATGGAGAAAATAAAGAGGTGCAAGCAGTAATTAGGCATAAATGGAAAGACTTACTGCATACCTGGTTTATGTGAGGGAAAAATGTGAAGAAATGTAATCTTACCTAAATTTTCAGTTTGGGCAAACAGATAGTTGTGGCATGGAACATAGGGAGAGGAATATATTTGGGAAGGAAAGAGTGGATGGCTAAATTCATGGGTAGGGAGTTTGAATAGCCACATAGGGAATCAGGCCAAGAACAGACCTCAGTGAATAGACAAAGTAAAAGCTGAGCAGAAAAGGAGAACCAAGAAGGAGTGCCAGAAAGGGAGGAGAGTCAGGAGAATGATAGTAGGAAAACAAAGAAAAGTATGCTGAAAAGAGAGAAAAAAAGTGAAGTCTAAAAACTACACACTGGTTATGATGATTAGGTCTTTGATCAGAGGTTTCAGAAAAGCAGTGGGGTTGGGAACCTGATGTCAGTAGGTTAAAGAATGAGCTGGGCTGGGATGTGGTTCAATTAAAAAGCACCCACCTAGCAAGCACAAGGCCCCAAGTTCAAATTCCAGTACTGCAAAACAAAAACAAACAAACAAAACAAACCCTATGCTGGTGTGGTGGCTCACCCCTATAATCCTAGCTACTCAGGGGGCAAAGACTGGCAGGATCACAGTTCAAGGTCAGGCCAGGCCAACCAAAAAACTTGGCATGGTGGCATACACCTGTCATCCCAACTACATGGAAGGCATAATTAGGCAGGTCATGATCCAGGCCAGCGTGGGCAAAAACTTGAGATCCTACTCAAAAAATAACTTAAGCAAAAAGGGCTGGAGGTATAGTTCAAGTGGGAGAGCACCTGCCTAGCAAGCATGAGGCCCTGAGTTTAAACCCCAGAAATGCCCTTCCCCAAAAATGAATGAGCTGGTGGTGCAAAGCAGAGATTCTAAGGTAGACTAGTTTTTCAAGTAACCTATCTATAAAAGGAAGGAACAAGAGTAGAGAGGATGGAAAGCTATCATACCCAACCCAGTGAAGAAAACAAGCATATTTAGAAAGAGATGCAAATCCTTTTGGGATTTAGAGTATAAGTGAATTCAGTCAGAAATAGTTAATAAAACACCAAAAAGGTGAGGAATAATATTTTCCATAGTTTAAAACCAGATAAACAATATAAAAACCATAATTATGAATACTTCATTTCTATGAATCCGAAGGTAGTTCTGGGAGGGCTGGAGGCATGGCCCAAACAGTATAGTGCCTGCCTAGCAAGCTTGAAGCCCTGAGTTCAAAACCCTAGTATCATCACCAACCCAACTCAACCCAATACAAAGCAAAAGTGGTTCTGGGGATCAAACCCAGGGCCTCATACATGTGAAGTAAGTGTTTTACTACTGACTTACATTCCCATCCCCTAAAAGTATACTTTAAATCAAAATTTTAGCACAGTAAGTCCATTTCTAGCTTGATTAAATTTGAAAAAAGAAAAACAAAACAAAGATAAAACTTCTTTTATTTCTTACCAAACTTTGGTGTGGTAAAGGTAAATTCTGGACCATCCTTTCCACCTTCATCTGTGTATGCTGCCATTCGTACCATGTACAATGTGTCACTAGTCAAAGAGGACAATGTATATTCTGTGTGGGAAGAATCCACATTCACAGCTGGAAGAAGAAAAAACCTCAACTGCATTTATTCAATTATTTAATGCTTTTGCTTTATCAGTCCTATATTTGGAATTATGAAAGTATTATAAAATAAAGCTATCTTCCCAGAAAACAACCTTCATAACACTGACAGAACATTCTATAAGCACAACGTAGCACTTTTTAAAAAATAGAGCCATGAATGTAACCAGAAAACATTCACAGGGGTGCACTAAGGCTGCTCGATACTACAAGAGATACTGTGAAAAGTTACTACTTAAGAACTTAGAAAGATATAATTAGTAACTAATATAGTTTTATTACCAGTTTCGTTTCCAATGATGGTTCTGTAAAATATAGTATAATTTCTAATAAATCCATTCTGAACATCAACAGGAAGTTGGTCCCATTCCAAGACAGCTTCGTTTTTCCCCACTTTTTTTGTCCGAACAGTAGGTCCTTTGGAAGGTGCTGTAAGAGAATAAATGCATTTGCCAGATGGAAAACACTAGAATTTAGAAAATGACCACAAATTAGTAAAATTTCCTTATCAAACAATTATTTGAACATGATGAGCGTCCTTACTTATAAGTGATAAAATGTCTTTGTTAATATGTAAAACTCAACATTTTTCAAAGAAAGTGCGTTTGGACTTACGAGCCTGTTTAAGGTATGCCTTTGTAGATTCAGGGCTCCCAGGTCCATTGGTGTACACCGGAGTAACTGTTATCAAGTAACATTTGCTCTCCTCTAGGCTCCCTAAAGTAAAATGGTTAGATTAAGAATTTTCCCAAAATGAATGAAAAATTCAAGTTCATTCCATTATTTACTTTTACATTATTTCATGACCACTTAATTTTTCTTTCTTTAAAAACAGTTTTATAAGTAAGCACACTGTTGTGGGCTGGACTCAAGCTAACAGAGTAAAACTACTACTTATGAAAAGCAACGACTGGTCAGACATGGTGGTGCACAATGTAATCCTAGCACTAAGGAGCCTGAGGAAGGAGGATCATGACTTTGAGGCCCTTTCTCAAGAAGGAAAAACAAAACAAAAAAAAATCAAAGACCAAAACTAAATAAAAAGTAAAGATTACTTTTATTGCCAATAAGTTGACAAAAAAAAAAAACCACATTGTGAGTAAAAGTAGTGATTGCAATTGTATTCAAGATTTATAAAACACAGGCCTCAAATTATCTTGGGTCTTACTTAAGAGTCTGACAACTCTTACATATCTCATCTCATTCTCTGAGAACTGCACGATGCCACTATTAAGATCTAGGGGAAAGCAGCTAAAGGCCCTGGCTTGTCAGGTGAGTTGGAAAAAAAAATTTATTTTTCCCACATTTTTATTTTATTTATTTTTTAATTTTTATTTTACTCATATGTGCATAAAATGTTAGGGTCATTTCTCCCCCCTGCCCCTCCCTCTCCCCCCCACCCCCTCAATACCTGGCAGAAACTATTTTGCCCTTTACTCTAATTCTGTTGAAGAGATAGTATAAGCAATAATAGGAAGGACTAAGGGTTTTTGCTAGTTGAGGTAAGGACAGCTATACAGGGAGTTGACTCGCATTGATTTCCTGTGCATGTGTGTTTCCTTCTAGGTTAATTCTTCTTGAATTAATCTTTTCTCTAGTTCCTGGTCCCCTTCTCCTATTGGCCTCGGTTGCTTTAAAGTATCTGCATGAGTTTCTCTGCATTGAGGGCAACAAATGCTATCTAGTTTTTTGGGTATCTTACCTATCCTCATATCTCCCTTGTGTTCTCGCTTTATCATGTGATCAAAGTCCAATCCCCTTGCTGTGTTTGCCCTTGATCTAATGTTTGCATATGAGGGAGAACATATGATTTTGGTCTTCTGGGCCAGGCTAACCTCACTCAGAATGATATTGTCCAATTCCATCCATTTACCAGCGAATGATAACATTTTGTTCTTCTGTGGCTGCCTAAAATTCCATTGTGTATAATACCATAGTTTCTTAATCCATTCATCAGTAGTGGGGCACCTTGGCTGTTTCCATAACTTGACTATTGTGAATAGTGCTGCAATAAACATGGGTGTGCAGATGCCTCTGGAGTAACCTATGTCACATTCTTTTGGGTATATCCCCAAGAGTGGTATTGCTGGATCATATGGTAGATCTATGTTTAGATTTTTAAGTAGCCTCCAAATTTTTTCCAGAATGGTTGTACTAGTTTACATTCCCACCAGCAGTGTAAGAGGGTTCCTTTTTCCCCACATCCTCGCCAACACCTGTTGTTAGTGGGTATTCTAACAAGGGTGAGGTGGAATTAGTGTGGTTTTAATTTGCATTTCCTTTATTGCTAGAGATGGTGAGCATTTTTTCATGTGTTTTTTGGCCATTTGAATTTCTTCTTTTGAGAAAGTTCTGTTTAGTTCACTTGTCCAGTTCTTTATTGGTTCATTAATTTTGGGGAGAATTTAGTTTTTTAAGTTCCCTATATATTCTGGTTATCAGTCCTTTGTCTGATGTGTAGCTGGCAAAAATTTTTTCCCACTCTGTGGGTGGTCTCTTCAGTTTAGAGACCATTTCTTTTGTTGAGCAGAAGCTTTTTAGTTTTATGAAGTCCTATTTATCTATGCTATCCCTTAGTTGCTGTGCTGCTGGGGTTCCATTGAGAAAGTTCTTGCCTATACCTATTAATTCCAGAGTATTTCCTACTCTTTCCTGTACCAACTTTAGAGTTTGTGGTCTGATATTAAGATCCTTGATCCATTTTGAGTTAATATTGGTATAGGGTGATATGCATGGATCTAGTTTCAGTTTTTTGCAGACTGCTAACCAGTTTTCCCAGCAGTTTGTGTTGAAGAGGCTGCTATTTCTCCATCGTATATTTTTAGCTCCTTTGTCAAAGACAAGTTGGTTACAGTTGTGTGGCTTCATATCTGGGTCCTCTATTCTGTTCCACTGGTCTTCATGTCTGTTTTTGTGCCAGTACCATGCTGTTTTTATTGTTATTGCTTTGTAATATAGTTTGAAATCGGGTATTGTGATACCTCCTGCATTGTTCTTTTGACTGAGTATTGCCTTGGCTATTCATGGCCTCTTGTGTTTCCATATAAATTTAATGGTAGATTTTTCAATCTCTTTAATGAATGTCATTGGAATTTTGATGGGAATTGCATTAAACTTTTGCACATTTTTAAAAGAAAAATGTGTCTTAAATGTGGCTTTTCTTTTATTTAAAATACCTCAAAATCATCAAAGCTACTCTTTTAGCATGCTATAGAACTTTTCTTTTTATAGACGGTATCTATTAACATATCAGAAAGTAAGATACGTTACACACCAAGGTTTGTACCTTCAATAAGAACTCGTATTTCGAGCTGAGCATGGTGGGACACTCTTGTAATCGCAGCACTTGGGAGGCTGAGGCAGGAACATGGACAATTCAAGGCCAGCTTGGGCTACTTAGTGAGGTTGAGGACTGCCTGTGATACATAGTGATTTTTTGATCTCAAAAAAAAAAAATCGAAAGTACTTCTATTTCTTTGAATAATATTCATAAAATTATTACATGGACGTATTAAGCAGAGTAATTTTACCTTTTCTTAGTATCATATTATTAAGAAATGAACAATTTTAAGTTCTGCTGTTACAGAGGTGCTTTCAGTGCTGAGCTGAACCCTTAATGTGTCTAGGGACATGCGAGGCTTTTTAAGCTTGGGTTTCTATTGTCTAGTTATTACAATCTGTCTCCCCCAACCCCACCATACTTTTTATTCGATAAGCCTGGTAAACTAGACAGTCAAGCTTATTAAGACTGCTCATTAAACACTGGATTAATAAGAGCCAAACAGCCTATTTTATGAGTAACATTCTCCAATCACTTTCATACCTGAATCCTAATGTTTACCCTTGTTTATTAAAAAAGCACATACATGCTGAGTGATTTTGTTCAAAGCTATTATATCATGTCACAGTCATGGTATTGTAGTACCCTACACAGAACAATGCATTTTGGAACTCTACAATACGCAATTTCTGCCCTGTTAGTACTTCTAACTGAAAGGCAAAGGGAAACCTGCATTCTTGGTTCTCCCTAATTATGGCTGTAAGAAGCTAAACAAGTCATTCCAATGATCTAGGGAACTACTTTCTTGTATGAGGAAGTTAAGGCAGGTACAGAGAACACAACAACTAGCTGGCAGTGAAAGCTGGGACTCTAGTTCTCTATTACTTTATAGTTCTGTAAGTGTTCCTTTGGTAATAAAACAGTATGGAATCTTAAAAAAAAATAGCATTAACCCTACTCTGTTCATTAAGTGTAACTTGAGTCAGGCATCTAGCAACTACTGAGGTTATGGTAATTAGGAAGTCTTTCAATAAACCACAATGCCTATAAAACAGAAAGGAATCTGCAAAGGGAAGTCTGTGCAAAGGAGTTAGAAAAAGGTTTCCAACTTAAATGTTTTTAGCCAGGTGTACCTCTTAAATAGGTGCGATGCACCGTCCCATCTTCTTGCTGCCAGTCTGGGATACAGGGTGATTTATCCGACAACACACACCATTCAAGTATGTATTTCTTTACAGATCTACTTGGAGTAGTCCATTCTACCCAAAGCATGTTATCTTTGGGGAATGCTTTAAGGTCCATTACAGGGTGAGTAGCTTTAAAACAAAGTTTGATGCCAAAATAATAAGTGAACATTCACAGAATTGAAATTTCAGTATTTGACAGTCACTTCTAAAACATGTGACTTATCAAGTTTTCCATAAATAAAAGCACTGTTTTATAAGTTACACCTAAGGTAGTCAATTTATTTTTAAAGTTAAGTTCTTATTTCCCCAAATTCTTTAAATACTTTTGCTGTATATAAATTTGTAATCTTATTTTTCTTTTGAAAGTTACAGATTAACAAGTAATACACATATAAAGTTCCCAAACCTTGAAATAATATTTCAAAAACCAGTTAAGTAATCAGAAAGTGCTTAAATTAACTGAGTAGCTTACTGCAGAGTTTAAGAAAGTCACGTAGGGATAGAAGTATTTCCATACACCCTGATGAAATCTGCCTGCTGACCTAAAAATATGACCATCCCAGATTCTAGGTGGTAATCTTACACTATTTGTGTCTCTTCAGTGTCCCTGTCCACCCCTCCCCATCTTTCATCTTCTTTTTTGGAGCCAGGCTCATTCTCACCGACACAAACCTTGAAAATCATAGGCAGGGATAGTTAAAACAGATGCATCTGACTTGCCAACCAGATTTCTTGCTGCCAGAGTTGCTATGTAGCGATCATTTGTGAGATTTACTGTCAATTTTGTGTCATTAACTATATAATTTTGTAAATATGATTTCCATCTTGTAAGAATCACTTCATAATCCAAGATTTTCCCATTAGCTTCAAAAGGAGGTAATGTCTATAATAAAATAGTTTGTTCAAAAAATTAGTTCATAAATTTGAATCACTAGTTTTTCATGTTCACAAATTCTGTCATTATGTCAAACCTCTAAACACTGGAAAGGAATGGAAAACTCATTATGAACTGAGTTCTAAAGCAATACTATTGCTCATTGATCACAGAATGAAAAGTATGACCTCAACTGAAGGAAGGGAGGCAGCTTCTAGTTGTGCATAGAATTCTGTACTGTCACTATGTTGCCTTACATTAATGTTAAGTAATTTTTCTCCCTAACTTTTTTATGATCTAGTCATGTACACATTATCAATTTATCAGCACACACTGTTTACCCCAAACTTTTATTAATTATTTTCCATGAGACACCTCCCTAAAGTCAACAAAATAAAGACCAGGAACCCTCTTCTTACAGAACTTACACACTTTCATAGGATAGTGCTGAAATACCTATGAGGTTTATGAAGTTTATGAAGTTAACCTCTTTATAAGCTATATAAGACTTTGTATTTCTATTTATTAAAAAATTATCAAATGTGTTGCTGATATTAAGATGAATAAAATTTTAAGTGTTAAAAACTTGCACTTACAATACCACTAAAATAAATAAATGTTATAAAAGAATATCAATCTGTGATTTCTTCTATTTTTACCTTCCATATAAGCTGTACAGTTCTATAGCCTTGAGTATGGGATGGATTAATCTTGTACCAGAAGCTTGGTGCTTTGGATGGTCCTAAAGAAAAACACATAAACTTCTTAATTTTTTAATACTAAAAATACAATAAACAGCTGGGGATGTAGCTCAGTGGTTTAGTGTTTACCTAGCATGCATGAGGCCTGGTTTAATCTCCAGTACCACAAAAAAATAAACAAATTTTAAAAATACAATAAAATCCTGAAAATTATTCTCTTACTTTGTTCTTAATATTTTTGCTTTTCAATTACATGGTGTCTCTAACTCTTTACAGCAGCATTTTCCCATCTCATCAAAATACACCTGAGTCTTTCTTTAGTCAAGGTGATAGCTTTATGATATAGATTATAATTTTATGGGCCTTTTTTTAGAGATGGGGTCTTGCTGTGCTGCCCAGCTGGCCCTGAACTCCTGGGCTCAAGAGATCATATTGCCTCAACAGGAGTAGGTGGGACTACAGTCTATACCACAGTGCTTAGCTATAAATTATAATGGAACTCTTTTGTACCCTTAAAATTATAAAGATACAAATGTTTTCTAAGTAATAACCAAAAAGGCATCACAATTTATTTCTTATAATTTCATGTTCTTTATTGTTTGGATGCTACATTATATATCCATTTGAATCTGTGCCAGCAGCCTTCTCCACAGCTTTCCTCATCTGCCTGTCCTTTCCTCCCTGCTTTGTCATTTATAATTGCTTCTTCATGACCAACACATCACTACTGAGACTTTATGCAAATCCTTTTTCATTCTATGGACTATCATACCCTGTGATTACACCTAGAAAAATATTGCTTTAAGAACAGGATCTTGCTATGTTGGTCAGACTGGACTTCAACTCAGAATCCTTCAGACTCAGCTTCCCAAGTAGCTGGGATTAATACTATTTTTTTTTAAAGCAATCCTCAGCACTATAAAAAAAAAAAGAATGAAAATTTTATAAAATTTTTAAGTAATAAAAACCAGATGATACTTACGGCTAAAAAATCAAATTGAAATATCATACTAAAGCACCTGACTAAACCCCCAAAGCATATATGTACAATATAAAAAGTAATTAAACTAAACGTACAGAATATTGTTTAAGTTTATTACTTTATGGTAGGTTAATTCAAAGTGACAGGATATTTTCCCGGGCTGGTCCCAACCATGATCCTCCTGATTTCAGCCTCCCAAGTAGCTAGGATTAGAGGCATGAGCCACTGGCGCCTGGTCAGTAACCAGATTTTAAAAACTAGTAGTGTGCTGGCTCATGCCTGTAATCCCAGGTACTTGGGAGGAAGAGAGCAGGATGATCATGGTTCAAGACAAGCCTGGGCAAAAAGTTAGCAAGACCCCAGCTCAATCAATAAGATGATTGTGGTGGTACATGCCTGTGGCCCCAACTACTTGGAAAGCATAGATAGGAGGACTGTAGCCCTGAGACTAGCCCTGAGCAAAAATGTGAGAGCCTACTTTAATAACAAAAAACAAAAAAGGGCTGGGAGAGTAACCCAAGTGGTAGAGCATCTATCACTGGGAAGCACAAAGCCCTGAGTTCAAACCCCAGTTCTGCCTAGAAAAAAAAAAAAATTCCTGTAGTGCCAACTAATTTTCCTAAGTATAATTGCAAACAGTATTCAAATGAATAAAGCACAAATAAGCAATCATAAATGACAAAACAGAGAAGAGAGGATAGCTAGGCTGCCAGCACACGAGGTTTGCATACACATGAGTATAGTGCAGCCCCAAACAAATAAAGAACATGAAATTATCCAGGTGTGGAGGCACACACCTGTAATCTCGGTACCTGGGAGGCAGAAATCGGAGGACTGCGAGTTTGAGGCCACACAGTTTGGCATACACAGTGAATTCCAGGCTAGCCTGGGCCACAAAGCAAGACCCTGTCATACACATAAAAAATAATAAATAAAAATTTAAAAATTTTCTGATCAAGCCAAAGGGTTCTAGTTGAGGACTTCCAAATCAGCCATAGCAGGAGTGCTTCCATTCCTAGCATTTGAGAGTGAGATAGAAAATTCTGAAGAAGTATGCTATTTTTCTGCCTCTAACATTCCTAATTCACACAATGACCTCAACTTCTAGCAGAGCTAGAAATGAAGGGATACAGGTGGAAAGAGGTTTTTAAGCCACAGCCACTGCCATTTGAGATCTAATGGGTGAGACTAATAAAAAAAGGTTTAAAAGCTATGTTACAGGGTTATTTCTTGATGGCTGCACAAGAGATTAGTAAAGTTAGCTGCTTCATGGAGGAAATCTTACACTAGGTGGTATTTCCTTTTTTGTTTTTTTTTATTCTGTACTAAACATTATATTATCTACAGTGGAAAAAAGGAAAATGAAAATAAACCAGCCCAAATCCCCGACCACTCCTTTTCTAGGGGCTTATCAAATGCTTGCCGAAAAACAATGAATAAAAGGTATAACATAAATATCTTTTTGCTAGTGAGGGCTTAAGGCATATTTTGCTAGACAGTGTGATTTTAATGATTCAGGATAGGATTTCCTAGCTAGGTGTTTCTCTGGCCCACTCACCCAAAATAAAATTTTCTAGACTTATCAACAGTTAAGTCAGTGGTTTTTTGATGGCATTTAAGATACTCTTACAGGGGTGGAGGCATGACTCAAGTAGTACAGCACCTGCCTAGTAAGTAAGGAGCCCTGAATTCAAACCCTAGTACTACAAAAAAAAAAAAAAAAAAACTTCTGATAATTTAATCAGGCATCAAATGGATTTATACTATCAATAATGTACATTAAATTTTATATTGTGATGTACTTAAAAGTGAAACTGGAAAACACTATAATTTGAACATAAAGAATACAAAATAAGAAGCAGTGAGACCTATATAATTAAAACCAGACACAATTTACAGACAGTATCTCACTAGCTTTATATCTTTGCATATTCATCTACTTACTGTCTTCATATGTGATTCCACTTGCATCTTCACTCCAGTCACTCCAGAAGCCCTTGCCATCTTCCTTCATACAGCGAATCCTAAATACATATTCTGTAAAAGGTTTAAGGTCCTGCACAGTGAATGAAGATCGGGTGGATACTGTATCTTCAGGAGGGATCTGAAAATAAAGCAAAGTGAGCAACAACAACAAAAACATTTAGTAAGGTCTTCTAAATTGTGTATGATTTTAGAAATCAATTTAATATAAGAGTAGTGAATTAAACTCAACCACTGGAGAGAAATAAATGCAAGTCAAAAAGCAGTTAAAATTAGTAGTTATTAGGTTTGAGAAGTTTGGAAATATCTATTATCTTTCTTCTATTTCTGTCTTCTCCACAGGACCTGTACCACTCAGGATCTCAGCATGAAACAGATGGCACAGGTCTGTAATCCCAGTGTTTGGGAGGCTGATGCAGGATGATCTTGAGTTTGAGGTCAGCCTGAGCTACACAGTGATATCTGGTCTCAAAAAAACAAACAAAAAAACCACACATAAAACAGCAAAAAACAAAACCCAAACCAAAGAATTAAAGAGGGCTTAGTAAAAGTCTATGAGCAAGAGTGTAGGGAATTCTTAGATAGTGCAGTTAGAACTCTGGGGTTTCTAGCTGTTACCATCCTTAGACCCAAAGGGTGGTGAGGCAAGTACCAGAACCTGAAAAGAATGTCAGAGTGGGCTGCCCTGATAGGCACAGCCTTAGTGAAGAGACAAAGCCTACTCCAGGAAGAAAAAAAAACAAGAAAATAAACATGCTGGTCTCACTTCTCTTCCATCCCTCCTCTTCCTGCCAAGCCTCCTCCTATTAACACATGGAAAATTAGATGGAAGGGGAACCCACAAATGAAATCCATACAGGTCAGCATACCAGGACAAAGTGTAATGTGGAGAAAAGTAGAGCTCAGATCTGAAGAGGCAAAAGGAAGATACCCAGTCCCATCAGGAAAAACAAGTTTGCCTAGTGATAAACTTGCCTTTTAGGAAAAAACAAAACAAAACAGTAACTCTGGATCTTTTAACTACTGAGATTTCAATATTGTGTAAAAAATAGATGCAGTATTTTTTGTACCACTGAATTAAATTCTGTATTAAAAACATTTTGAAGACCTTCACATATATAGTTTCCTTATACAACATGAGTCATGAATCCAATTTTGCTTTTTCTGATTGTATTCAGAGCCCTTTAGAAAAGTGGGATGGAAACAGAAGTCATGGATTCAATTTCCTTATAAGACCATTGTTACACCCAGACCACTAAAATAAATGAATAAATGAATGAACAAGTAAAAGTAAAAGCATCCCATTAGTGACAAATGGAGTCACAAAAAAGAATAGTGTCAGCAGCTCAATGCTTTTAAATAAAAGTTCCAAAATAGAGACAGTAATACATAAACAAATGAATGTAGTTGTGTTCCAATAAAACTGTTTATAAAAACATGTCAGGCTGGTTCTTCATCCTTATAATCTATTTTTGCTCCTAATTTGCAAATTACTTATATTTCTTTCACCTATCAAAAATGTTCTTTTTGTCACTTCCATGTTTTGTTTAAAGATTACTGTATATAGCATAGCTGTGTTTTCCATCTGGATGGCTTCCTGTTTGCCCTTGCTTGAAATGAAGAGTCAGAGTAGGTGTCAAGCAAATATTTTCAAAAGCAGAAAAGACATGCAGAAATGACTGAGGGTTCAAGGAAGACTATTTGAATAAACAGTAATGTTCAACTTACCTGGCTCCAAGTTGAGGCATCTTTGCTCCTATATTGAATGTTGTATTTTAGTCTTATAACATTCTTAATACTTGGATTGATCCAAGTTAATTTTAAGATACTGGACAGTTCCTCAGAGTTGCTCACTGATAAATTATGTGGTGGGCTGGGCTTCACTGAAGAGTAAAATAAATCATAATGTTGATCATGGTTTTCTTTTACCAATTTATGTACAAAGTCAAATATATCCACTATAACTTTATTATACTTTTTTATTCTTACCAAACAACTATTTCTGAAAATGATGCTATACTATACTATATAATAAAAAAGAATAAAGTGTCCTTGTCTGTTTAGTATATTTGTTAATTTTTCAGATTTAGATATCAAGATAAGATAAAGCAAACATTTGAGAAGAAAATAAAAAGAAATAAGCATACTGTGATTACAATGGTATAAAATGCTTGCAAACTGGACAAATACCAAAAGATAACATTCAAAGTGAAAATAGCTGTGAGTGTGGTTGGATTATTGCCATTTTCTTTTTCTAAATCATATTTAATACTGCTGATAAAATGGCTTTGTAAAACCTGCTATGCTAATTACATAAATGCTTGTTTCTACAGTCATTAAAATCTGAAAAAATAATTTATAAACCACTGGATAGTCTAGTAAGTTCTCAAATTCAAGCTCATAGCTACCTTTATCTACAGGATCGAAATTGATATGCTCTGATGAAACATTTCCAAGGGCATTCTCTGCTTCTACCCAGACTTCAATGTTGACAAAATACACAGGTGAATAGTCAACAAGGCATGACGTGGGGGTGTCACGTTTTGCTTTACAATCAGCAAACTTCTCTGTTGCCCTAAATATAAAAGTGGAAGAATCAGTCATTAAAAGTAGATTTAAAAAAACTAGAGGGAAAAATGTTATTTGAAAAGATTTGATGAGACACAGATTGTTATAGTAAAGTTTGCAATAAATTGTTCTTCACTAAAGGTAAACAGCATTTCTTAAAAACTAACCTGCCCTTCTTTAGAATTGGGTTTGATGTATTAAGACAAAATGATTTTCAAATTTTTAATCTGAGAGCACTGCATTTTAGAGTTTTATGTCCTAACTTGACTAACCCTTCTCTAAAAATTATCTATTTCCTGTGATCCCAGTATAGTAGTCTTGCCTTACCAATAAGGAATACATTCTAAGACCCCCCCAGTGGATGCCCGAAACCTCAAATTAACACCAAACTCTACATACACTATGTTTCCCCCCATACACACATATATTCCTATGGTAAAGTTTAAAGTAGGCACAGAAAGAGATCAAAAATAATAAAACAGAGCAATTATAATATACTACAATAAAAGTTAAGTGAATGCGGTTTCTCTCAAAATCTTACTGCACTGTACTCATTCTTCTTGAAATAATGTGAGATACTATAATGCCTACATGGAGAAGATCAGTGAGGTAAATGACTAGGCATTGTTGAACTAGCGTTAAGATACTATGAAGCTTCTGACAGTAAGTCAGAAGACAAATCGTATATTTCAGGTGATACTGTATCACTAAGGCATGATAATGTCTGGAGCAGATGATGTCAATGGTAGGTGGTCCTCGATAGTTAAGTTTTTTGCTAAAACCACCCAGAAGAACACTGTAACCAGAAAATACTGTCTGTTTAACGCATCAAAGTGTTGCTATAAAGGATTGCAATCCTTTGGAATCCATAATGACCTTTAATGCTGCATTCCATCTGAGCATTGTATTCCATAATTTTGTTCTTTAATGTTTGTGCAATTAAAAAGACTTCAGAGATTCAAGAAATTCTCAAACTTTTACAGTTTGAGGTACAGAATTACAAATTTCTGTACTGTTCACATTTCTGGTTCTGTTTGAGTTTCTTGTTCCTCTACAGAGGAAGACAACAAATTCTACCATCCTCATTTGTTAGTTCTTCCAACTGCCTCCAATAAGTTTTCCACTTTTTCACCAAACATGTCGGCAAATCCTTCTCTGTTGACTTGTCTTGCTGTGTGAATGATTTTCCTAACTTCTCTGAGAATCCCTTAAAATCACTCACAACATAACTCTAATGTCTTCCAGTAGACATTTATAATATCTGGTTTTAACTCATCCATTGCAGCTTTGATGAACACCACTGTGCGAGCAACAGTGCACCATTTCCAGCATCACATTATGTGCAAATTAGAGTCTGCAGCAACTGCTAACCGAGCACAATAAAATACTAGGTGGGCATATTGTGGCCTACATACAAAATGCAAGGAACTGAAGCAATGAGGTTGTATTTGAAGGTAAAAATACTGCTTGACAGTTTCATTTTCATACCAAACACATTCAAAATGGTCCTTTTATCAATAGGACTATAAATTTCAACCCTCTTTTTCCAAAGATTTTGCCACATCTGGAATGAAGCAATGATAGAGCCACCCCATAAACAAAATGGCTGTCAGCCATGCTTTCTGATGATGCTGTCAGAACACAGGCAATTTCTGTTGTTGTTGAGAGTATGTGGTTACTTCACTCTGCTACATGAGGCTTAATCATAGGTCCTGAACTGTACCAGAGTTCATCTGCCCTATGTTCTTGCCTTAGTGCCTCCTCTGCACCTTAATGAACACAGGTTCTGTTGGGCATCTTCTTCCAGATGGTATTTCTTCTCCTTAATCAGCTTTAACTCTGCTGGAAATATGGCAGCAGCTTCTTTTTTTTGGCAGACACAGCCCTTGCAATATTTTTTCTGTTTTTTCAGTCTGAGCCTATTCCTGAATCTGGACAACCACCCCTTACTTGCAGTGAGTGGCTTAGTGTCACTTGCCTGAAGTCTTCTTATAGGGCCAATGCCTTCTGGGCCTATAAGAAACATGTTCTGGTATAACATGCTGCCATCAGTCAGAATGTTTTCTGCTTATGTCCTCCAGCTACAAATTTAATGCCTTTAAAAAAAAACTTAACTAAACACTTAAGATTAATCATTAACACACTACAGCTGTAACTTTTGCAGTTTAAAAGTACAAGAGCAAACCTAGCAGAAATTTCTCTTTCCTTCTTTGCAATTTCAGACAGATTTGTTCTTACTGTAGACTTTACCAACCATAGCATGTGCTTTTTTCCTTCCTTATTAATTCAAGAATTGTCACTTTTTCACTTGAAGAGAACATTGTACAGCAAACATTATATATGCAAACTGCCAGCATCACTACCTTTGTGGTGTTTCTTAACACAAGCATTGTGATATTACCCAGAATCAACCTGATAACTGAGATGGCTACTTAATAGGCAGGAAGCATGCAACAGCATGGACATGCTGGACAAAGGGATGACTCAAGCCTGGGCAGGACTGAAGGAAATGGTGCCAGATTTCATCAAGCTACTCAGAATAAAAATGTGCAATCTAAAACTGAAGAACTATTTATTTCTGGAATGTCCATTTACTATTTTTAGGTTGAAACTGTAGATAAGGGGGAACTACTGCACTGTTTTTTTTCCCCTTCCTGAAACAGAACTCTTACTAAACCAGCAATGCCTTTCTAAAAGTACAATATGTTTTTTCTAAGCACAAAACACTAGAAGGTGGCAAGACTGTGAATAAGGATTTCCTGTCAAGCTAGAAATTATCCTGCCTTTTTCTAGTCAAACCCAGGTAACTGCTTTCTGACTTTGATCATCATAGAAAGTTTTATGTAAAATACTATTCGTGTGTATATAAATTATGCCTCAACTGAAAAATTTACATACAAACATTACTTTTTAAAATAAAAGGATAAAGCAAAGCAAAAACAAAAAACGGATAAGCTCTAGGAGAAGAAAGGAAATAAAGAAGATAAGGGTAGAACCTAGACTTCTCTGAATATACTTTATTTTAAAGATATGACTTTTTGGAACAATTTACTACTCTACATAATTATTAAGAAAAATTTTGAAAAGAAAAATGAAACATAAACTTGTGTATTGAGTTTGTGGTACAACCACATAGAAAGGAACTATTTTAAGGAACTTAAAAACACAGTAATTAGACTATACATCTTTTGTAGAGAAAAATAATCTTAGAATCATTTTTAGTAATTATATTGCTGATATATATACTGTAATTGTTATTCTGCAATTGTGTTTTTTGTGGGATATAGTATATGAAAAATTATGTTAGTGTTATTGGGAACCAGAGTTTTCAGGACAAAAGAAAGGAAAGGTAGATGTTAGATGGAGGAAATTATGTAAAAACCTGTAGTCCTTTTTTAAATCAAAAATATCAGTGAGTTCATGATATATTTTATCTTTTGTGATGTATTTTATCTTAAACCACAAATGTTTCCCCGCTCTTTCCACTGAAAAAGCCTAGAAACAACAACCCAGTAGCAATGAGTTCCCCTCACACTTACATTGTAGTCTCTAAATAGTATTTCACACTAAATGGAACCAACTATTCTTGACAAATGGTTGAGTCCAGGTCTGGGTAAGAAACATATGATAGGGAAATCAGATGAACCTGGAAAATTATATCATAGTAGAAATCCAAGAAGCCATCAAAGACTAATGAGGTTGTGTCAACAGGATGTGTCAATCTAAATAAACTCTCATTGACCAAGGATAGGTCAGTATAAAAGCATCAGTAAGAATAACAATTAAAATGTATCGAAACACATCAAATATGCTTAAATAGGAATTTTTAATGAGGGAGAAAAATCCCTCATTATCTACTTTTTGAGGATGCTAAGCAATCATCATAAAACTGGTAATAAAGAAACTATTAACACAATTTTGCTTCACCTATATGAACTGGCCCATAGGATAACCTACTGTTGATGAAGGCAAGTTTATCTTTAAGCATTTCAGCTAAAAAAAGCCCCCCCACAATACCACACACACAAAAAAAATCCCCCATTATTTTGTAACATATAAATAATGATAACAGATGACTGCTCAAACCTTCAGGAGAAAAGCTAATGGGAAGCAACATGTTTCATTCTTAGAAACATTGTGATGACACATAAAAACCTTTGACAAGTTTATACACTGTATCATTACATTTACTTGGCATTCTCTAACAGGCAAAAATCAGCAAGTACTTCTGTAGTTGCCTTATGGGTTGGGATGGTGGCTGGGATTGACTGAGGAGATGCAAGACAGAACTTTCTGGGAATGTTCCATATCTTAGGTTTGAGTTATAGAGGTGTATGCAGTTGTCAAAAATCACGGAATGGCAGATAAAATACTTAAGATCTGTGTTTTCTCTATATGTAAATTTTAGCTAAGAACAAAAGCACACTTGCAAACAAATACAGAATTCTAGCTAATGATGTAAATACTGAAGTGTTTAAGGACAAAATATATTCATGCCTACAACTCCCTCTGAAATTTGTTGAGATATATAAATAGGTATGTGATAAAGCAAATACAGTAAAATGTTATTTGTAGAATATAGGTGAATACAGATATTCACTGTAAAATTCTTTGAACATTTTATGTTTGAAGAAATTGAATGGGAAATTTTATAAAGACTGAGTAAGACTGATAACGTCTTAAATCATTGCTCAATGTTAATATTACAAAAAGAAAATAATTCAGTGGGTCCTAGTGGAAGTACACATTACTCCTCTGAAATCTTTCTTGGGGAAAAAAAAAATCAAACTCAAATTTAACCAAATCTATAGACCTACCAGCAATTTTCAGGAAATGAAGGAACAATAGAATATATTAAACAATGTACAATGATTAGTGAACTGCAAGGAAAAAGAAAACAAGCAAGAAGCAGGTAGAACCTATCAGAGACTTAAGGGAGGAATGGTGAATGGAGGAGACGAAGGTGAGGGAATATAGTTGATGGGCTTCATATACAACATGAAAAAGAACAGTGAAACCTCTTGCAATTGCTTTAAGTGGAGTGGGGAAGGAGTTGGGGGAGGAATGGTGGGGACAAACTAATGTACAATATAAGGCACTGGGAATTGGCACAAGGAAATTCCTCTGGTACAATGAATATATACTAATAAAAATGACAAAAAGTTAAAAAAATAAGAGGACAAAGAAGGAAAAAAAGTTCCATGGAGGTGAGGTGAAACTCTTCCTACTTTGAAACAATTAATTAAAAATGTTAAAAAAAAAAAAAAAGATGGAGCAAGAGAGACTTACAAGAATTATCAGTTTTCAATATGTGGAGTCTATTTGGATCTCAATTTGAACAAATGTAAAAAAACATGTATTCCGTGAGACAAGTGAGGAAATTATCTCTGATGATCTTAAAGTATTAAAATTATGTGTGTGTAACAATGGTATGAGATTATTTTTTTTTAAGTACTTATCTTGGGTTTGGAAGCATGGGTCAAGAGGGAGAGAGCTGCCTAGGAAGCACAAGACTGAAGCCTTGCATTCACAGCACAGGAACTTCCAAAAAGAAAAGTCCTTTTCTCTTAGAGATACGTCTTCAAGACAACATGAGGTGGTGAGTACATATAAATTAAGACTAGTCATAAGCTGATCACTGGTGAAGCTGGGAGATGGTTATACACAGAGATTTATTATACAATTCTTTTTTACATTCATATGTATTTGTGATGTTCTAAAACAAAAACCTTAACTATTTAAAAATTTGTATTCAATATTACAGCTTGACTTAAAAAACAACATAGACAAAACCTAAGATAATTTACCATTCGGATTTTAAAGTGAAGTTTGTTTCCAAGAAAGTTTCCCTTCCAGGATCCCACTGACACATCATTTTTCGACCCTCGTTCACAACGCAATTCAAATTTTCAGGTTTTTCTGGAGGAACTAAAAGGAAATAATAGGTAGTTTTCAAAAAGCTATATATATATACACAAATATTGTCCAATTTGCATACCACCTAAATATAATCAAACCCAATTTGAAAATAAAATAAACACACCAAGACAAAAGAATACACATAATGAAAGACTAGTGACTAAAAAAGCAATTTGTTTCTCATCAAACTCTTAACCTTCTTTTTAGTAGTAATATATATATCCTATCATAACTATAATTAGTTTCAACTTAAAAATCATCTTTCATTTGTAACTGGATAAAAATATCAACAATTTCTCCCTTACTTGTATTTTTAAAACTAATATTTGCATCTGGTAGTAAGAGGGAACTAAGTAGGAACAAAAGTGATTTATTTCTATTTTTGTTCATACTGTTCTCCTAAACTCTTTTGGAAGAAAAGCAAATGCTGAAATTGTAAAATTTGGGTGATCCATAAATTTGAATCATAGTTTACATTCTTTACTTTGACTTTTAAGGGGTTTTTCTGGTATTTACTCATTTTTTTTCAGGTAGCTGCTTTATGTGTGCATTTTCTCAGCAATTAAAGGATATTGAAAGTTACTGTGAAGCATTCACTGATTTCAAATCAACAATACTTTTTTGAGGTCTCATGTCAAAACGTTTTTCAAGAAGACTGACAAATGCTTGATTTTAGAAAAGAAACCTGTGTTGTTCTTTGTATATTGATAATGCAAACCTAGACCCTGCTTCTAAACTTACTGTTTTAGAAATAAGTATGTCCAAAAGTCATGGAGCCCACAAGTTACTGGATTTCATAAAAGTAAACAGAGAATATTATACTTCAAGGGTCTTGACAAAGTCTGAAATAAGATAAAAAACTTACAGCCGGAAAGTACTGTGATTCCATAAACATTCTGCTCAATCTGTCCGAACGTGAGAATGTTGCAAGTGAGCTGAACATGCAGCGAAGCTATGTTTGTAAAGGTGACACTGGAGGCTGTTCTGTTTATGATGGTATATTGTTCCTTAGGAACAGCAAGATGGTTTGTTTTCCAGATGATATAACTAGCATTTACATGAAAATAATCCATACATTTTTCCTTTAGCACACAAACTGCGGTAAAATTAGAACCACGTTCTATAACTGGAGATTCAGGGCTGATATATCCACATGGATCCAGAAGTTCACCTGGAAAGCAGAACAATTTTGAAAATATAAAATGGCTGGGGGCATTGTGGCTCATGGCACTGCTTTGCTTAGCGTGCTCCAGACTCTGGGTTTAATCTCCACCACTATATTTAAAAAAAAAGACTGAATTTTTCTGGTACAAATGGCACTCAATGTAGAGTCCCTCAACCTTTACTAAAATATTTCCTCAAGAAATAGAACAAAACACCCAAATGAAAATTAATATAGCCCAAATATACAAATTATAATATACAAAACACAAAAAAATACTGAGCTGGATTAAGAAAAACCTATGCTGTGTGTGGTATAATATTCTAATTTTTTCTTAGGAAACAGACTGCCTATAGCATGACTCCATCTGCCCACTACCTATTCAGCCCCTTTATTCAGACAGAGTATAATCTAAACTCAGAAATCAAGCAGTGGTAGTCTCCCTTCTCTCTCCTGGCATGAATGATGATGAGAGGTACAGATGGGGAAACAGACACAATACATCAACCAAATAGTAAACAATAAAAGAAACCTCAAGGGAGACAGAAGATGGCCATTTAAATATATTAGTTTTAATAATAAAAGGAGGGGAAATGATTTTCTATTAAAAACAAGAATCAGAGTAGTTTTAGTAATAAATACACAGGAAGAAAGAAGAATCAGATCAGGTCAAAAAATGAAACACACGTACATGCTTCACCTGTTATGAACGCCAATGCTAGTGACAAGGGAATCCCTATCTTTAGCTCTAACTTTCAACAGCCTATTAGATATTCATGGGACACAGCCGGTATTTTTTTAAATTTTGAAATATATACCACATTATCATTACTTTATAGAACTTCACTGTGCAACAGAACACCAGAACTAATTTCTCCTATCTAAGTGAAACTTAGTACCTGTTGAACAACCTTTCCCCATCCCTCCCTCCCCCTACTTTCTCCAGCTTCTGGTAACTTCCATTCTATTCTCAACTTCTTCCTATGAGATCAACTTATTTAGATCCCACATATGAGTGAGATCATGTGATATCTCTGTGTGTCTTGCCTTTTTCACTTAATGTCTTCCAGGATGACAGAATTTCATCTTTTTGTAGCTGAATAACATTCCATTGTGAATACATAAACTTTTTATTTATCCACTCATCAGTTCATGGATATTGGTTGATCCCATTTCTTGGCTACTGTGAACAGTGCTGCAATGAACACTGAGGTACAGATGTCTCTTCAACATACTGAATTCATTTCCTTTGGATGTATACCCACTAGTGGATTGCTAGAACACATGGCAGTTCAATTTCTTTACTTTCTGAAGAACTTCCATATACTGTTTTTCCATTAGTACATCTGCCTAGTGGCCATTTGTATCTTCCTTTGGGAAATGTCTAATTAGGTCTATTGCCAATTTTAAAACCGTAGTCCTTGGGTTTTATTTGCCCCTGAGTTGCTTGGGTTCCTTATATAATCCGGGTATTAATTCTTTATTAGATATATAATTTGCAAACATTTTCTCCTATTCTATATGTGGTCTCTTCAGTGTTGATTATTTCCTTTGCTGTAGAGAAACTAAAAGGATTAATGTAATCCTATTTGTCTATTTTTGGCTTTGTTTCCTGTGCCTTTGGGGTCATATTAAAAAAAAAAATGATTGCCCACTCCAATGTCCTGATGCATTTCTTCTACATTTTCTTCTAGTAGTTTCAGGTCTTATATTTAAGTCTTTAATCTGCTTTGAGTTGATCTGTATAACTGGTGAGAGATAGGAGTCTAGTTTTTTTTTCTTTTCCATGTGGATATTCAATTTTCCCACATCTTGTACTGAAGACACTGTCCTTTCTTTAATGTGTGTTCTTAGCATCTCTGTTGAAGATCAGTTGGTTGTAGATGTATGCGTTTACTTATAGGCTCTCTGTTCTGTTCATCTGGTCTGTTTGTCTGTTTTTAATGCCAACAGTATGCCATTTAATTATTATAGCTTTGTAATATATTTTGAAGTCACTCATAACGCCTCCTGTTTTGTTCATTTTGCTTAAGACTGTTTTGGCTATCTGGGGGGGTCTTCTGTGATTTCATACAAATTTTAGGGTTTTTTTTCCCCATAGTTCTGTGAAGAATGCCGTTGGTATTTTGCATTGAATTTGTATACTGCTTTGGGTAGTGTACAATACCCAAAATCAGTAAACAATACTGATCCTTCCAATCTGTGAACATGGGTGTCCTTCCGTATTTTCATGTCCTCTTTAAATTCTTTTATTAATGTTTTCCATTTTAAAGATATTTTGGTTCTGGTTAAATTTATTTGTATTTTTTAAAGTTATTATGAATAGGATTGCTTTCTTGATTTCTTTTTCAGATAATTTTCTATTAGCATATGGAAACACTATCTGACTTTTGTATGTTAATTTTGTATCCTGCAAACTTTACTAAATTCGCTTTTTTTTTGGTAGCACTGGGGTTTGAACTAAGGGCCTCACACTTGCTAGGCAGGTGCTCTACTGGCTTGAGCCATTCCACCGGCCTGCTAAATTAATTTATTCTAATTGCTTCTTGGTAGAGACTCTGGGATTTTCCATGTGTAAGACTATGTCATCTAAAAAAAGTGACAATTTGACTTCCTGCTTTCAAATCTGGATGTCTTTTACTCCTTTCTCTTGTCTAATTGGTCTGTCTAGGACTTCTAGTACCATGCTGAAATAAAGGTGGTGAAAGTGGGCATCCTTGTCTTTTACCAGATTTTAGAAAGCTTTCAGCTTTACTCTATTCGGTACGTTTGCCATGGACTTGTTATGTACAGTCTTTGTTATGCTGAAGTATGTCCTTCCTATACCTAATTTGAGGGTTTTTTTTAATCATGAAGGAATATGGAGTTTTATCAAATGCTTTTTTCTGTATCTACTGATGATCATATAGTTTTTGTCCTTCAATCTTTTAGTACTGTATCACATTTATTGACTGTATATGCTGAACCATCTGTAAACTCCTGGAATGTATCCACTTGATAAAGGTGAAAAATCTTCTTAATGTACTGTTGGATTCAGTTTTCTAGAATTTTGATAAGAATTTCTACATCTACATTTATCAGGGATATTGGTCTATAGCTTTTGTGTGTTATCTTCTTTGGTTTGATATCACGGTAATGTTGGCACCGTAGGTGTTTTAAAATAAGCATGCCAGTCTCTTTCAAACATTACTTTTTTAAAAATTCAGTCTTGTTATGTAGCCCAGACTAGCCTTGAACTTGTGATCCTCTTGCCTCAGTTTCCTAAATGCTTGGACTACAAGGGTGTACCACCAAACCTGGCTCAAACTTAGTATTTCTTACTCTTATTTCTCTACCTCTGCAAACAGCACCACTCCTATCTAGTCATCTAGACCAGACACCCTGTAGTTACCCTCAACATCTCTCTCTAGTTACCTTCCTCTAACCTCTAACTTAACAATGCGGCATTAAGTTTTGTTGGTCATTGTCACCAATACTTGGACTGCTAAAGCTCAAGCCATCATTGAGCTCCTTTCAGTTTATCCTGCCTAACTGTTACCACAGTTACTGTTCTAAAGTGATTCAGTCACTTACCTATTTTATGTAGTGGCTACCTATAACCATCAAATAAAATCCCAACTATTTGGCATGACTCTATTCTCTTTCTCCAGCATCGATATCCACAAATTTAATGCACTTTTCTCCAATCAATCTCATTTACCAACAGGTTCCTGTGCCGTTACCCATTCTATTTGGGTTTCAGTTTTCACTTGGAAAAATAAAGTTAATAATGGCTATTTTAGTTTTTGAGATTAAAAATTACTTACGTAAAGCAAATAATTGATAGGCCTACAAAAAATGTAGTCACGCTGACAGGTCCATTAGAGGTGACTAGCAACCTTCCATTCTTGGGGCAGATCTTTTTGTTGTTGTTGTTGGGGTGCTGGGGATTGAACCCAGTGCCTTGTGCTTGTTAAGCAAGTGGTCTACCACTTGAACTATGCCACTAACCCTTTGTTTTGGAGACAGGATCTTTCTGCTACCTTTGCCTGGGCTGGGTTGGTCTTGAACTTGTGATCCTCCTGCCTCTACCTCCTGAGTAGATGGGATTATAGTCATGCACCACCACATCTGGCTTGGGTTGTGTTTTTTAAAGATGATCTCCTCCTATGTCACATGTTCTTTTTACAATGTCACTGATACTCCTTTCACAAAGAAGTGAGATCTATACTCCCTTCACTCATCTCAGATCTGTGTGGGTACCTTAAAGTCAATGGAATATGCTATGTAGCTTCCAAAACTTGATTATTAAGAATATAGCTTCTGACTAGCTCTCCATTTCTCTTGGGTATTTGCTTTTGGAAGCCAGCCACATGTTGCAGGGAAGACAAGATCTTATGAAGAGGCCATGTATGGTGCTCTGGTCAATGGTCCCAGCAATGACCTCAGCCTACAACCAGTCAACATTAGACATACAAAATGAGCCCCAGCACTCTGAATATTCTAGCAGAAGCCCAGACATTGTAGAGCAAAGCTGAATCGGTTTCATTGTGTCTTGCTGTTTGCCTCTTCTACCCATACAAACCAAGAGATATTGTCATTTTAACCCATTAAATTTTAGAGTATTTGTGAAAAAGTAATAGATAATTAATAATTCAGTTATTTTCAACATCACAATCAACAACTGGGGAGAAGACAGAGACAGACACTCTGAATTAGTAAAAAAAGAGACCATGAAGGATTGTCAACATTTTGGATGAAAGCAATGCTAAGATTCAAAATTCTGTTGGAAGACTGGAGTAGTCTAAAACCCATTAAATGAAATTTGGAATAGAGGAAATGTATCTATTTAGGTTGAGGAAAATATGTACATATTGAGACAGAATTGGTTTGAAAGCAATTCATGTGAAAAAAATCTGAGAATTTTCATTGACCACTTGCTTAACACGAAACTATGCTATGTCTTAGCTGCCAGAAAGCTATGTTACTTTGAATAGGTGATACTTCAGATTGAATTAAATAACAGAGCCACTATACTCTATGTCTAGTTCTCATACATTTACTGTTTCCATAAAGTGCATTTATGCAATAATCTTAGTAGTAACATGTAATAACTATCCTTTTTATAATGCTTATTGTGAGCCGAATGCTCACTTAATCTTTACAATAACACCAAGAGGTAAGGATCATTATTATCCTCACATTATAGATAAGATAACTGAGACATGGATTAAATGATTAGCTAAAGTCTTACACCTGGTTAGAGGGACAGCTGGGATGGTATTTTAAATGGATACAGGCAACCAAGAGAAGAAGGGCAATCAGCATGCATAGGGTTGGAAGCCCCATCCTATAAAGAATCATTAAGATAACTGGGTAAATTTAGATTGGGGCAGTGAGTCTCGGGACACAGGAAAGCAGTCACCTAATACTTGAAGAGCTAAGCATCGAGAAAAAAAAATTAGGCATACTCTAGAACTAGAAATAATGGGAGAAAATTACAAGAAGGAAATGGAGTTCAAAAATAAGAAATGTGAGCTAGGCACCACTGGCTCACACCTGTAATCCTAGGTACTGAGGAGACAGACATCAGGAGGATCATGGGTGGAAGCCAGCTCAAAGCAAGTAGTTCATGAGGCCCTATCTCAAAAACACCCAGCACAAAAAAAGGGCTGGTGAAACCCCAGTATTGCCATCAATAAATAAATAAACAAATGAATGAATGGATGAATAAGAAAAGTGGACTAGGGACATATCTCAGTGGTAGAGTGCTTGCCTAGCATGCATGAGGCTCTGGATTTTATTCCTGTCACCACAAATGATAATGGTGATGATGGAGGTCTTCCTAAGTAAAGATTTTCAACTTTCTGATACTTGAAATGTTCAAAATGAAATTTAATTCCTAGATTTGGAAAGGGGTTGTTTTAAAGCAGTGCTTCTCAAACTCTCTGTGATGAAAGATCAAGTTTTTTCTCTCAATCTGTCATAGACAAACTTTGACTGCTAACTCCACTGATCATATGCTTGGGTGTCAGGCTATGTCAAACTGTTAAGACATAACATGTCTTAATTAAGGATACTAAACATGTATCCTTAATTTCTGTATGTATTTCAGTGTGGACCAGTAACAACCAGCTCTCAGATGGGTCTCAATCTACACATTACAGTTGGAACAGTACTGTTCCAGAAATCAATTTCATTCTGGTAATATAACCACACTGCTCAGTGACACACTGGGCAATTAAGGAGTGAAGTGCTAAGAGTTAATACATTTTTCCTATTCCTTTCTTAAAAAATGACACACTTTTTGCCCTCCCCACCTTAATACTAAATGTTAATCAGCATCTGAATGACCATGAATTTGAACTATTATGAATGCCTGCCTAGGAAGCGAGAGGCCCTGAGTTCAAACCCCAATCCCGCCAAAAAGAAAGAAAAAAAATTATCAGTTTTTTACTGCCTAAAATTAAGACATTATTCTCCATAATGACTCCAGAAAGAATAAATATGAAGCATAATTGTATAATTACTAAACATAAACTTAATGATAGAAACATAAAATATTTAAGCCTAATTTGTGGAGTAGAAGGTAGGATATTTCATGAACCTTACCTATAGATTCAGAGGTGAGGAAAATAACCAAAGCTTGCACTAGCCAAATCTGCAACATCGACATCTTGCACAGTTATTTCTGTAACAGACACATGGAGTATTTTAATATTTTCTCTATATGCATATAATCTAAGACACAATCTTTTTGTTTTCATTGGGTAGTTGTTTTTTGAAACGTGGTAGAATTCTTACAATGTAGAAAATTCAATGTTCAGAGTATTTTTCTCTATTTTTACTAAAGTTAATGGCTATGTAAAACTGCCAAAGTACATCATTTCTACTTTAAACTTAATTAAAAGACCAATCCTATTTATTTTTGTGAAGTCTTATACGTTAGTGAATAATTCTGTGAGACTGAAACCTTCAGAGACACAAATTTCTTCAAGTAAAATTCACCACAAAGAAGAGATTTGAATAGTTTATAGAAAAGGAAATACAAGTATCTAAAGTATATAAAAAGAACTTTCATGTCACAATGTACCCCATACAATTAAAAAAAAAAACAAACACTGATTAAAAAAAAAAGATACTTCAAACTCAAAATGAGAGATGCAAACTAAAAACACCAAGACAGGAATGAAAAATTGATACAGGTACTCTGGAAAACAGTTTGGCATCTGCTTACCAAGTTAAAAGCACACCACAAGACTGGACGTTTCCACTCCTAAGATTGTATCCGATAAAAATAAAAATATATGTTTACAGGAAGATAAACTCAAATGTTCACAGCAACCTTATTCATAATAGTTCCAAACTGGGAACAACCCAAACATCCATCAACTGGTGAACAGATAAATATTGAAACCATGACATATCCACATAATAGAACAGTATTCAACAATAAATGGGAATTAATTAGTAATACATGCCACAGCATGGCTGAATCTCAAGAGCATTATGTTGAAAAAGAAGCCAGACACAACAGGCTACATACTGTATAGTTCTATTTATAGGAAACTCTAGAAATGGCAAAACTAAGGTGTCAGAAGGCAGATCAGGGGTTCTCTGGGGCTGAGGTAGAAGAGGGCACAAAGAAACTTTGGGGGGCAATGGAAATATTCTATGACCCGTTGTGTTGGTGACTGTAACTCTATACATTATTCAAAATTCATTGAATTGTGTCAAGAATTGCAAAGTTTGTAATCTAAGATTTCAACTTTACTTTCAAGCTAATGAGGTAGACTGCCACAGTTTCAAGGGTACTAGCAAAAGACATGAGACTTCTGAGTGAGAGACAAGAGACTTTTATTACTCTTAAGAGCAGTAGTCACAGTGTCAGCAATTTCTTTTGCCAGGTGCCTACGCCCCAATTCCCCCAGGGTGTTGTGAAGAATCAGGTGACAACTACACAGGCAATAGGTTATGAGAGAGAAAGATTGAGCTTAGAAACCCAAAGTCTTAAAAATGAGCAGAAAGCATGCTTGCCCTTTATTCTGGAGGGAGACATTATCTCTCCCTTCAAGGCTATAAGGAAACCTGCCCATGTTTGAAAATATAGTTCAGAAAAAAAGGCAGTCAGGACTTTGTTCATATGACCTTCAGAAATGCAAGACACCTATGGGTTTCCTACCAAACTGTATACTAACCACTGGTGAATTTTAATGTTTGTACATTAGATCTCATATATGACCAAACAAAAGCTTCACAGACAAGGTGTAAAGCAAGAAAAATCATAGCAATAACCTAAGCATAGTGACAGAATTTATATTGATATTCTTGCTCATATGCAGTGTAAATCTGACGTTATTATTCATGCTTTTTCATTCTGTTCTTGAGCTGAAACAACAGTATACCAATGGAAAGGTATAAAAAAGTGAATGATGGTGAGTCTTTCTCCCACCCAACAGCAGCCAATCTTTAGAGATATGTTTCATACATGATATGGGTGTATTCTGCCTGCTTAAATTTTTTGGCTCACAGACAATACTAGGTTCCTCCTTGATTAGATCAAAACCTTGGTGGTTTTGGAGAGTCACTTTTACTGGGAAACTGATTCAATGTTGGATTGACTGCACTGAATGGCCAGATCTATAATTTGTGGACTTATAAAGGGACAGCTCATAGGTCTGAATAGAGTGGATGAGTGGCGTGTTCCTACCCCCCATGCCACTAAGTATCCCAAGCAGGACGAGAACTTTGGGTTTATCTTACAGTGGCTGAACCTGGCAAGGGGAAATATATGGGAATTGGTACAGATAAGGTAGAAAATATGAGTTCAGGCATCAGATAGACTAGGGTACATGTACCCTTCCATATGGTAGGCAGGCAGAGGAAGATTTGGTCCCCACACAGAAAACTGGTGTTATTAGTTGGATTTAAACAGGTACAGATATAGACAGTGCCATAATCTTTTCCCTTTTGGTTGGAAGTATAGTTTGAGGCCTATTAGATCAGGTGGGTCCCAACTATGGGAAGTCCTGCAAGAGGAATGAAATAGCTGAGTGAGAAAGAAACCTGGAATTTGGCCCCTAGGTTGAATACATTTTAGTTATTTGTTTGTTGATTATGGGGTTGGTGAAAGAAACTGGAGATATTGAAAAGGCAAGAGAAAGATGGCTTTGGGCAAGCAGTGGTTTCCATATAGCCGTCTTGTTGCCAGCTTGTGGGTTGGGAAAAGTTGTTGGGTTTCTATAATATCCATTGTAGTCGGGAGAGCTAGAAGGTCCATTTTGAGAAAACCTTTGGGGGTTGTGAAAGGGTATAACGAGGATGGTGGAATTGCAATTATACATGTGTCCCAAAGGAGTAGCTTTAGGGTGGGCAGAGTTGCAAGAGAAATGAATTGGAGCCTGGGAGATGAGGAAACATTATAAAAGAGGGGGCCTGATATTAAAAGGCTGCAGGTGCCCAAGGTCAAAAGGATGAAGGTTCGTATTTCTGAATCTATCGTGTTACTGATAACCAAATCTAGTTCATTGAAATATTGATTATCGAGGGTGGTCTCTAGTTGTCACCAGTCCCTATTATTAGCCTGGACAGTCAGGGGTCCTTTATTGGGCTGAATGGAAGCACATATCCAGCAGCTGGTATAATTAGGATGTTTTAAAGACAGGTTTAAAAGCAAAATGGCCTGCTTTACCGTAGGAAATAGAGGTGAGTTAGGGAGTAGGAAGAGGAAATGAATACGAGGGAGAAGTGGATTATCAGTTTTTGCCACTCTAAGAAAGACATCTCCATGGTACTGGGCTGCAGCTGTAGTGGACAATAACCCAAGGTGGGGGCAGAGCTCAGATTACGAAGCAGAAGTGAGGAAAAGCAAAATTATCTTTGATTGGTGGGGCAAAGGCATCTCTTACCCAAAGAATGGTGAGTTTGAGCCTGATCACCCCAGTAATTAAGAAGTGAGCTGCAAGATCTGTCATGCAAAATGTCACCAAGAGGTGGATTGATAGGTTTGAATCTGTAGAGATAGATCTAGGCAGGAAAACCTAGAAGTCTGGTTGCAGAAGGAATGGCAAGACAAGCTTGAAAAGGGCCTCTCCATGCAGATTGAAAAGTTTTGTTTGATCAGGGAGATCCTTAAGGAGTATCCAGTCCACTTTGTCAGTGGTGTCAACAGATTGGGGAAGGATTAGGCTGGCTTATTTTCAAAGGAGCCAGCAAACAAATTCAAGTGCAGGAAGATAATAGCTCAGAGGAGGAGGGTCTCTGGAGAGTTGTCGGGGCTAGAGGAAAGGGTCATCTGTACACGTGTTTAACTTGGATACTCTTTTACATCACATAAAATATTTCTACATAAAGTATTTCACTTAATTTTCCAAGGGAAGCAAGTGGGTAGGGGAGTGATTATATACTGGACTTTTACAAAAGAAAAAAAAAATTCAGCCAAGGCAAACTACTTACCCAACTCACAAAATTAGCAAGTAAAAAAGCAGGGATCTGAAACAAGTCTTCTGCCTCCAAATGTCATGTTCTTTCCATTGGGTCTCACTGTGAAGACAGAAGAATCTTGTTCAGAAAGCTGACATTGATAGTATTTATTATACTTATACTTTTAAAATCCCTGATTGAGATTAGGCTTTTAAGTGTGCACAAAGTATCACATTTTAGAGATTTTCTAAAATTCAGAATTTAAAAATCCCATAAATATTTGTGTGAGAGTATTTAAATAGACTACTATTAGGTTTTTTATTTTGTTTTCTGAGTCAGGGTCTTGCTATGTCACCTAGGTTTGGCTACAAACTACTGGGCTCAACCAATCCTCCTGCCACATCTTCTTGAGTAGCTGGGATCACAATGGACTAGTGCTGTATTTTGATAGACTTGCAATATTAAGGTCACCCACACCGAATTAGAACTTCCTTGTTATCTACATAGTTTACAGAACCATGAGAGGGTTATTTAGTTGACAAAAGCATTTGTAACAATTCTTTAACAGAATCATATCTTTGTCTTCTATTAGCACCAAGCTAACACTGTTGACTCCTCAATTGTCTGACTATTCTAGCCATAGAAATAAAAATTCATTTTAAGATTTGCTCAGGGGTTGGAGGTATGGCTCAGTGGTACAGAGTCTGCCTAGCAAGCATGAAGCCCTGAGTTGAAATCCCAGTAAAATAAAAAAAAGTCCATATTCAAAAGAAGGAATGATAAAAAAAACTTGCTCAGTACTAGGTTAAATTCTAGCATGAGTAATGGTGGCTCTTTTTCTGAACTATAATAACTTAAAACTTAGGCAAAGAGTTAAATATTTTTAAATTTTCAAATGAAAAGAAGAAAAAAATACCATTTGAAAGTCCCTATATCCCACCAACTAGTCAAATGTGCTACTGGAGTGCAAAAGCAACCACTGACAACATACAAACAAATCATGATGACTGTGTTCCAATACAACTTTACTGTTGCAATTGCAACCTGGATTTGGTCTGCAGGTCACAGTCTGCTAACACTTATTCTAAAATATTACATAATTTACTTATGTTGCTTACTGTTTGCCATGGCTTGACTTGTGTGTCCCGCCCCCCACACGATGCCCAAAGATACATTGATGTCTTTGCTCCCAGCACCTCAAAATATGACCTTTTTTGGAAATAAGACCATTGCTGATATAATTAGCAAAGATGTCATAGTGGAATAGGATGGGCTCTTAGTACATCATGACTGGTGTATTTGTAAGAAAAAGAGACACAGAAGGATGTCATGTGGCAAACGAGGCAGAGATTGGAGTGATATAGCTACAAGCTAAAGAATGCCAAAGACTGCTGGCTACTACCAGAAGCTAGGAAGAGGCAAGGAAGTATTCTTTATTGTTTTAGAAGGACTTCTTGGTCCTAGAACCTTAACAGAATAAATTTCTCATTTTAAACCACCCAGTTTGTGGTAGTTTGCTACAAGAGCCCTAGGAAATGAATACACTGACTATATTGCCAAAGGAGAATATAAGTTCCATTCTGGATGGAGGTTAAAAAAAAAAAAAACAACCAGAATATACGCAAATGAAGCAGAAATTTTGTTCTTTGCTGTATTACTATAATGTAGAAACTAGGCCTTTATTAGAAAATTGATTTGTACATCATTTTCTCCCAATCTGTGGCTTGTCTTTCACTTTCTTAAAATTGTATTTTGTGGACCTGTAATTTTAATTTTAATGAAGTCTAACATTGTGCTTCTGGTGTTATATCCAAGAAATCTTTGCCTAAAGTCACAAAGGTTTTCCCCTATAAGTTTTATAGTTTTGGGTTTAATATTTAGCTCTCTGAATCATTTCAAGTTAGTGTTTATATATGGTATAAAGCAGGAATTAAATCATTTTGTACATATGAGTAGCCAATTGTTTCAGAATCATTTGTCGGCAACACTATTCCAAAGTGAGTGAAATGCCTTTGTACTTTGTCAAAGATCAGTTGTTCACATGTAGTGAGTTTATTTGTGAATTCTCAATTCCAGGGCTGTGTGATTTCTTATGTAAAGGGCTAGAATGCAAGTATTTTTAGTTTTGTGGGCCTTAAGGTCTCTGTTGGAACTACCAATCTACAGTTGAAGCACAAAACAGTCACAGATAGATAACACATAAACATACTTAGCCATTAGTATTAGTATGTTCTAATCATACTTTAGTAAAACAGAAGGTGGGCTGCAGTTTGCCAACTCCTGTTCTGTTTGTTCCATTGATCTATTTGCTTAACTTTATGCAACCACTACACCATCTTGATGACTGGAGCTTTTAAAGTCTTGAGATCAATGTTTTGTGTGCACTTTAAAAAACTGGCTATCATCCTTTTCTCTATTCTTTTGTATGAAAGATCTCTTCCCCTCCCCCATGAATATTAGATGCCTTTTTATCAATTTGTCTGAGCAACTGAGAAATTTTATTATAATGCCCCTTAGTTTGTATTATGTTTCTTGTGGAGTCTGCATAGCTTCTTAGAACTGTTGGTTTATAGTTTTTGCCTTAAAAAGACTGTGTTATAGTCCCCTCTACTGAAGTAAGACCCTTCTGTATACTCCTCCTTCTATCCCATGAATCAGGATGCTGCTAAGAATAAATACCATTCCTCACTCTGTGGGAATGCCAGGCTCTGTTACCTCTAATTTTCCTTTCAGGAGGTTCTTTCCTTGGCTCTCAACTTTTTCCTTTCCCTTCTCCTTCCCCTTTCCTTCCTTCTCGCTTACATAACAAAACTACTGTCAAACGAAACTATTGTCAAACTATTATGATTATTTGTCTGATAAAGCCTAAACAGATTTAAAAACAAAACTAAAATGTGAATAATAAATCAACTGGTTAGCCTAAAAATGCAAGGATACAGATACCTTTAAACATGGTTTTGCTTTTCATGGTTTCAGTTAACTACAGTTAACCAAGGTTTAAAAACATTAAATGGAAAATTCCAGAAATAGAAATTCATAAGTTTGAAATTACTTTTAGTACAGTATATTATAAATGATATAATTTATCATTAGTTGTTTATGTCTTACTGTGCCTAATTTATAAATTAAAATTTATACATATGAATATATAGGAAAAAGAAACTTAGTGTATATACGGCTCAGTACTACCCAGTTTTATACATCCTTCAAACACCTTGGAAGGTAGCCCATGCAGATAAAGGTAGATTACTGTAGTTCAAAATGAGAAAAGATATTAGTATTACTCACTATATTAATAAATTAAAGCAGAAAAACATGATCATTTCAATAGACGCATTAAAAAGCATATGGCAGTATGTTCACTTAAAAGTAATAACAAAGTGTCTGAACACAGAGACTAAAAGAAACTGTTCCTATTACGATGAAAAATAATAAGATAAGAGTCTGGTTCTCTGGAATCAGACTGCCTGTATCCAAATCCCAGGTCTTTATTTTAAGGAAAATTAATTTAGATTCCCTCACTTTTATTTCCCTTATCTGTAAAAACTGGCATAAAACCATACCTACCTACCACCTAAGAATGCTATGAAGACTAAATACATCAACACACATAAAGAGCTCAGAATCTATTTGGTTCTTAATAGCTACTTGATAAAATGTAACAGCTGTTGTACTAGTGCAGCTTTTGCTGCTGCTGGCACAAGGCATTTACAGGGCTAAAGGTAAAATCAGAAGCATCCCTATTACAGTCAGGATTCAGATAAAATGCTGGAAGCCATCATTTATTCAACACTGTTCTAGAAAGGGTAAAATAAGATAAAAATGGAAGCAAAAAATTTTGTAGATATGATCATCTACCAAAAGTGAGAACCAAATGACAAACTACTATGATTATTAAAAGCATAACATCATAGCAGTTGAAAAGATTATAAAAAATAACAGCTGTCCTAATCATCAGTAAAAACCAAAGAAAATATAAAAGAAAAAAATCCTATTCATAATAGCACCAAAAATATACTATACTTAGGCAAAACCCTAATCAGAACTATGTAGGAACTCTATGGAGAAAATAATAAAACCTTAGTAAAAGGTGCATTACTAAGACCTAAGAATAAAGTTGGGGAGGACGCTGGGCATGTAGCTCAGTGGGAGCGCTTCCCTAGCATGCATAAAGTACCAGCTCTGGAAATTTATACATATGTGTATGTATATATATATATATATATATGAGAAGAAAATCGATTCTTCATAAAATTATATAAAAATGCAATACCATTTTAATCTGGACAGCAAAAACATTTATTATAGAACTTTATAAACAACTCAAAACTTCATATAAGAAATTAAAGTATACCCAGAGGCAACTTTCAAAAAACATAAATAGAATATTTACTGTACCATTAAGATACACTACAAAGGTAATTAAAGAAAGGCATTGGTCCAGAAGAACAGACAATTAAGGAAGTCAGTGGTACAAAATAAACAGACTTGAGTGTATACTAGAATTTATAGGGTTGGGGTGTAGCTGAGTGGCAGAGTATTGCCGGGTCACCAAGAGTGGGTGGAGGGGGATCAGAGAATAATGGAGGGGGTGAATCTAATTAAGATATGTTGCAAGCACATATGTAAATGTCACAATGAACCCCCTCTATACAACTAATATATGCTAGTAAAAGTGTAAATGTGTGTATGGGGGGAGGGGAGACAGAGACAGAAGCATCTGCCTAGTAAGCGTGAGGCCCTGAGTTTAAACCTCAGTATCGCAGAAATAAAGAACTATTAAATATACTATCAGGACAACTGGTTCCATGAGCATAAAAATAAAGAGCCCCTTTTCATTACACACATAAACACTGCAGATTTATTATGGAACTCAGTGCAAAAGTACAATGATAAGCATACTGGAAGAAAATATGTAATGTATTTATGACCCTAGAGTAGAAAACTTTTATAAACTATCTTTGACTATTTTAGTCAAATGGAAAGGTTTCAAGAGTACTTTCATAAACATCAATGTTCTCACTATCACTTCAGAAACAAAACATTACAGATATAATTCAAACCAAATAAACAGTTCTTGCCCTTAAAAAGTTCAAAGTTTATAGAGGTAAAATATGTAT